GAGAGACCTGCTACGTATCAGCCTAATGCAGCAAAAATAATATTATGCTAGCCGCAGTGTTAAGTCTACGAACATGTGCTTGTCAAGGCTGCGCGTATTGACACTGCACGATGACGATAACCGGTGTTATAGGATGTGCAAGCTGATCTCCAAGAAGCTTTGTGACTTCTCACAAATAGTCTCTGTTACATTGACAATAAACCGCAAATGGAAGTATCGTTGTATCCAATTTAATGTTGCGGCTTTTTACCGCGTAAGATTAGCATATTTTAAAATCAATTTTCTATAACTTTTTAACAATATTGCATTGTTCACTTTGCTATATTTTATCATATTTTTCCGCAAATTTTTTCTCAAATTCTCACATTATTCTCTTAAAAATATAATACGCAATTACTAAGGCATTCCTGAAATAACAAAAATAATAATTATATTTGTGAAAGAGACTGATAAATGAGTGTTTTTAACTTCCAATAACATGTGCTTCAAATTCCAGTAGCATGTATTTAAAAATGTTAAAAATTATTAACATGTGTTACTAATTAAAATAATTATGTGTTTGAAATATTAAAAATTATTTTTAATATGTAAGATTAAAGTGTTTAAAAAAAAAAAACCTTACTTTTAATCCTCTTAAATAATTAATCTTCGCAGAGTGTTTCCAAGACTTTTGAGATGTTTTTATAAATCAAATATAATGTAAAAATTAATGCTCTGTTTCTCCTTTAAGCTTCGCGACAGTACAATTTTATTGCAAAAAAATTTCCACGAAACTACACTCGAAAATTAAATATCACGAGTCACGTCCGCAGAATCGCTACTGTGTAGCCTTAATCAATCGGATTAAGGACTGGCGACGGTTGTTACGGCTAAAAATAAACGCGTGCGTGTCTCTCCCTATTTCAGTCTGCCATTTCGATTAACACACCATGCTCGTGGGCGTTCACGCAACCGATAATCGCACGCGCGTACCTTATCTATGTTTTAAATTAAACATCCTTTCATTGATAGTCAAATAGATGCAAACGTGCGAGCTGCTCCGCGTCGAGCCTCGCGCAGCAACATTGCACACAAATGCAAATGCTTATTGTACCGCCGAGATCTACACCAAGATTAATATTTTGACTAATTAAAGAAATAATTTAAGAATGAGATTTATTGATAGATAGATAAATGTTACTTTTAGTATTAACTATTTCAAATTTTCACATAAACAAGTAAAATTAACACAAATAATTTTTATTAAATAAAGAAGAATAAAGAAATCAATATGTTTTATAACAATGGCGAATAAATAATCAAATGAAATAATCTCGTTAATACAGACGATGAAAAATTACGCCAATACGAACATTTCGATGTTTCTTCGATATTCTCTAACACGATATATGTATTATTAATAAACACGTCAGAGAGATTCCATTTATTACGGCTTTTTAATAAAGATTTAAAAACTAATAATTCAGAGGATGCTCGGCATTTATTTGCGGCTAGCTGATCCGTATCGATCGGCGCCAGTGGGCAACGAGAAGGACCGTTCGAAAGGACGAGTGACGGGGAGAGAGTATGTGCAGCCACGTGAGCTGAGTCACGTAGGCTCTCGAGTCCTGGGAACGATTTCGGGTCAGCGCCACTCTAATGAGCCGGGTCTTCGCGCGGAAGATCACGTAGCTACGTGCCGATGATCGCGTGTTGCGAGAGAAATGACTCATGTTCTTTAGACACAATCTCCGATAGAGTTCGAAATGTATATCCGAGTGTTTACTTCGTTTCGCGTGAAGCTAATTCCGTGCACCAGATTCGCGTCCAACAGATTAGTATTCCCCGATGCAAATTAAAGTGCTTGGAAATAATGGGCGTTTACTCCGGGGATATTTGCTTGCCTCGCGCACTCTTGACACGATTAGAAATTTTGCGTATTACAATTTCTCTATTACGTGAGCTAAATCGATCAAAATTATCGCTTTGTCAACTTGAAGACAAGATAGCGAGTATCGTGACATTATTTCTCCGTCAAAAGTGACAACGCCCTACATCTAAAATTAACGGTGATACTTTTGGAAGACGTAATTTTCCATTGGGTTTAAAGTATTGTTTGGCTATATGATTCAGTAGATTGAAGACAAAGGTACAATATTGATAGTGATAGACGTATACAGCCCTGATCTTGACCGAGCGCCGTGTTCATTAGGGCACATCCGATTTAAATAGAACAATCTGGCTGCGAGTTTGCAAGACGCTGACCCGATTCTATTTATAACTAGAATATTCGATCCAGTTGTCGCGACATTTTTTAAGTAATTTCGAAAAAAAACTAACAATTTTTTAACACAATTTTGAATACTTTTTTGTAATAGCGTTTTAATCTCCCGTTATTGGCTTTTTTAAAAAATTTTTGCATTTTTGTTCTCTCTCTCTCTCTCTCTCTCTCTCTTTCTCTCCCTGAAAAATACGAATATAATTTTTTTATGAACCTTTCAACGCGCCAGCCTTTCTCGCACAAAATTTAATCGATCGCTTTCAAAGTTAAATGCCTCACCGTACTGAACGGTCATACAATTTATGAGTGATTTATGACCGGTTTCCTATCGGAGAATGTACGCAAGTAAATCACCGCATAAGTTATAAATATGCGCGCGAATACACGTGTAAGAAATAAAATAAAAATTTACATATAAATGAAAAAATAACTTAAAATTCTTTTTTTTAATTTAATTTTAAAATTAATCTGACTGGCATATCAAATTATGCAGCAGAATTTCATTTTTAGGATAATATCGGAAATAAAGAAAGCAAAAATGTAAAATTCAATACTTTGAGTAGATAAATTTAGCGTCCATTCTCAAGTACGCTTGCAAAACGGTACTCCACTTTGTGGTTTATTATTGCGCGGACGTCACTGCTTAGAATCTTCGAAGATGCGGTGTGTAATTCAACATGAGAGAGAAGATGTGACTGGAAAGAGAAAGAGAGAGAGAGCGAAAAAGAGAGCGAAAGAGAAATAGATAACAGTATATATTGCTACAAAGAAAATGAAAGCATCGACAGGTGTTTATTTTTTTCGTCAGCTATCAACCAGACAATACTTTGTAAAACAAACACAGATAACGTTCAAAATAAAAATCATATCTGTGGCTTAATCAAGTGGCCTTCACACAAGATGAGATTTGCACGTGTTAAAAAGAGTCAAGAGGCAAACCTTTTAGATTAGATTTCAATTAGACACAATAAGTTTGTTCTAAACTTACAACACAACTGAAAGAGACTGAAAACAGAGATGTTTGAATTTGAATCAAAAAATATTAAAAACCCATAAAATTATTTTAGTATAATAATGTTGATTGAATCAATATAAACTTTAGTAAAAAGACTAGAATAATCAAAGCGTCTTGTAGTAAAATACATAAAATTATTAAAGCAGTAGAGTCGTCTTCACAAAATTTCGTATGTTTTTGAAGAATTAGCATATGTGAAGATGTGATTATAAATTATTAATAATACGCTTGACCTATTTTATAAGACTAACCACAGCAAATATATCACTGCGGTATAAAACTTCCTAAGAAGATTATAAATTCAGACATATATTCTTTATTTAAGCTTTTAAAACTAAAAGAAAATAAAAAAATAATAAATTATTCATGTGAATCTGAAATGTTGTCAGGAATTTTAGGAATAACTTGTCGAAATTCAATATCGAGTTTTTAAATTAAATAAAAAAATTTAAATGCATCGTGAAATTTCCCGCAAATTGTGAATTTCAACGCGGATAATATTGCTGTCAACTGTCACTCTTCGATTACTGATAACCACATCGTGGTTGACATAGCTTATAATCGCCAATATGTCTATGGCCTACCATACTGAACATTTATGCTGGACATCACAATGAATCTTATCTTACTTTATCATGATTATACCGGATAATATCGGGTGCTGTACACAGGAAGTGTGTCTACGCAGAAGACATCATGTGGAAATAATATATTCATATGAAATGTAAATAACTTTACATCTGCAGTATCTTCCATTGAACATCTTCAATCATTTTGCTGAGCATGAATATTTTAATTTTATCTATCTCATTTATCAAAAAAAAAATTTTTGCTAAAAACACAAACAAAAATATTCGAGCACTTGTTTGTATTTAAAATTAGAACACTAGTTTCTAGAATTATCTTTATCTTTTTACTATTATAGCCAAAGATAATATAAAAATACTGATATTATTATTTATTTCATATTTCAATCTTTTTTCTTTTCATAACAAATCTCATAAAAGATGTAGATAAAAAGATACGAAAAAATCTTGATACTGAATTATGAACAAAATGAACAAAAATATGCATTTATGCGAATAAAAACTTTGACGGGGAAGATATAAGGACTTTTGATAGACAACGATTTAACACGCACAAATTTCATTCGGCGTACTTCGTGAAGTAGACTTCGCCATGAGACTTCATGCGTAGAACCAGCCAGGCCGAGTATCGATTCACGCGCGCAGCATCAAAAATTGAATCTTCGCCGGATACGACGCAGCAGGTTAAAAATCGAAATGGCGCCAAAACTACGCTGCATCACGCCGCATCACACGCTCCGAAAATTGAAACTACTACAATCCCCGAAAATGTCGCATCAACTCCAAACATCACGCATTGTCATGAACAAAGAGTCTGTTTTCTTTACAGTATCGAAATTTAAGCTCGTCATAATACTAATTACTCAGATATCAATCACCGGCAAATTTCTCGCCGCGCTTCCGCGTTCAGCAAACGGCAGTTCTTTGACGCCGATTCGAAAAGTGACGCGTCCTCGCGAAAATGCCGGTGGAAACACGATCGCGGATAGTAAACCGTGTTTGTTTATGCTCACGTCGCAAGAAGTGGAGGAGGAGGAGGGAGGTATACAGAGACAACGCGCGAAATGGCCGCGCGATATGTCGTCGCGTCTGACAATCGGCGTACCCCAGCGTTTCTACGTTTTACGTCTTTACTCACCGCTCAGCTGTTCGTCCGACGTGTACTTCACCGTGGACGACATCGTCCTGCCGTGCGTATATGCACTCGCGTTATAAAAATATCGTGCGAAGCAGCACCTGAACACTGGACGAAACGCGAGTACGATGTATACGATGAGACCGAAAAACAGGACGCTTCAACAACGACGCACTTGCCGCCGCGAGTAATCGCGATGAAATGCTGCTTGACGCTGCTACGAAGGCAGCGCTACCGTGCTTTGTTTTGACACACGGCGTTACACGCGCATGTCAGCTGCGGCTGTCTCGGCCAATCGCGCCTCGCCGCGGTGTAAATATACCGCGCGAGTCGATGCTGTAACTCGCGAGATGCGACTACGTGCATCAACGCGTCAGCGCGCTCCGCTCCGAATAAAGAGAGGATTGCACAATGTTACAACACGCGCGCGATTGTTTTCTTTCATCGCTGGATTACTGATAAATAAAGCAGAAATCTGTCTATAAAAAAACGTGTGATATAAAACGCATTGTCGAAACAATCGCGTCATTTACGAATAATAAAGATTCCCCAATCGACGAACAGCAAATGCCATCTGACGATGCTGTACTACAACACTTAGCTGCATGTGATGCATCAAATGCGACGTCGACCAATGAACACTCCGAAATCGGACGCTCACTACAATGCGGTTCAGATCGCAAGCTGATTGGCTCGCTGTAAGTGCGATAGGGGTATATATACAAGTGCGCAATTTTATCTTCGGTACTCAACGGCATCAAGTCGATGTTTGATTGAAGAGCGTTCAATTTTCAAAATATTTGATGTTTTATTTTCGATGTATAGACGCGCAGACTCGCTGCTGTATGGCTCCTGTTATTCACGTTGTTTTACCAAATTGTTCAACAATATATTCAACAATTTTGAGTTTTTTATCAAAAGATAGATAGTTTAATTTCGCTATTTCTTGCCAAAAAATATTTTAGTTTTGCTTATACTTCAAAATTATCAAAGATTTTTTTATTGAGATATATAAATGGTTATGGCAGCGACGTACAACCCGCTAAGTACTAACATTGTATAAAAGTTTAGAATAATCAGCAATATCTCTGAGATGATAAAATAATGAAAAATCTTGTAGTGAAATAACATAAATAAGATAACTTAACCGTACGTCCAGTTTATTATAATAAACATATATGTAACAAAATAAAATAACACAAACCTATCGTTATTGCACAAAGTGTGAAACTTGAGTAATGAAAATTATTGCTGCACGTTATAAGAAACTAAAATAAAAAAATAAATAATGAAACAATACGGAATTAAATATAAATAATTATCAAAGGGATGGAACAAACGTTAGGACTGACACCTATCGACAAATGACTCAACTATATTTTACATAATATAACGATAAAAAAATTGTGATTAATATTGCAATAATTTTTATTTATTTTTTCTCAGGACAATAATGATCATTATTAAATTATCATAATCAGCATAATTAGCAAAGTCGTAATAATCAAAATATTTACTTCGATAAAACATGTATATCATATCTAAAAAAAATTCTACATTTTTAATTTTGCATATAACAGACGTTTTACATATTATTCTCGAGAACTGAATTTTGACAATTTATTCGTGAAAATTGGACTTTTACCAGCGCTGCCTGTGGCCACGCTTTTAATAACAACGTCGATGGCAGCACTGTGCGATTGCTAATTTACGTTGACGACACGTATTTCGTACGTGCCTGTGAACTGCGTAAATCGTACGTACATTTCGCATCGACGACGACGAGTCCAAGATCCATTTTATCACAGACAAGGTACGTTTCATGTGCGCGTCCCAAAAATCGCGACGATCTATTTTTCGTCTTGGTCGAAATAGTCCGAGCAGAACCATCCTTGGAATCGCCGTAAACGTTCGTGGACGATAAACAATAGAGACGCGCCGAACGCCTCGTGCGAACGGAGCGAACGGAGCGAGCGGCTTACGCACGCTGTGTTCCGCGCGAGCAGCGAGCGATATCGCGGCCGATACGATCCGCGTACGCGCTCGCAAAGATGGTCGCCGTGCGACCGCATCTGTCAAGCGATTGACGATGATCCTCGCGCCGTGTATTACCCTCGCTATGCGCCGCTAGCGTAAAAGAGAGAGAGAGGAAAAAAAACGCCGCCGGATTGTCCTGCTCGTCCCCGGCCGCCAAATTTCAGGTAAACACCGGGATATTCTGATCGGGAGGGGAAGCGAGTAGAGAGATCGCGCGCATAATTTCCATATGCGCCGAGAACCGTGTCATTTCGAGGGACATCGCACGGTTTGTTGACTCCCGCGGCGTCTCCGCGGCCGGTCCAAGGTTGCATTTCGTCAGAACACCGCCTCGAAAGTAAACTTTTGCCCAACGGCGGCTCGTTCCTATGCATACAAAGTCGAAGAGTCAGCAGATTGATTATTCGGGAGAGATATTGTGTTTACAAGCGACGAACTCCGCTCAGTGCGTTCCAGTGCGTTCGCTCGTGGAAGGCCGCGTAGCCTCCTTGTGTTTATCTCGATTGTTTGTCTGAACGTGACACGCACGGTATCTGATCTGTGCGGTGTATCGCGCGAATTATTCATCCGGTGCGAACGACGGAGGAAAGAAGAGAGCCCGAGTGTTCGAGTCGCGACAAAGAATCGATTGTAATTCAATCTAACGTTACTCCGATAAGGACAATTCGTAGAAAAAGTATTAAGAGAGTGGACTTGCAGGTAATCGTCAGGTACATTGTTGGACATACTGGCTATGAAAATGAAGATTCCGAATGGTGGGTCCGGAAACGGTTATTATGGTCAGGAAACAGGCATCACTTCTTATCTAGACAGCAACAGCGACACCGAACCCGAGATGCAGGGAATAGGCGATGGTGATTTCTCCGAGTATCTGTGGATGGAGAACGAGGAAGAATTTGACAAACAGGTATTTTACATGTGAATATAAACGCTTCTCGAGATATCCTACTACTTCCGGTGGTACGGTTTTGCTCAGGTGCTCCAACAATTGGAAGAGGAGGAATTGATGGAGGAGTGTCTGGAAGCGATGTTGGAAGAAGAGAGGCAGCACCAGAGAAATATGAATTCTACTGCTTGGTCTACGGCTAGCGGCACCTCGGACGCTAACGCTGCTGAACTATGTCAACAACTTAGCAGCCTGACGGTGCAGGACGATCTTGCTAAACAGGTATCGAAGTGTTTTCTTAATGTTTTTCCAGATAGCGTTTTTTATCAGATGTCGTTATCAGTATCGTGATGTTATCGTTTGTGAAATATGAATTTTTAGAGCACGCTAAATCCAGACGCAGCCGAATTTATTCCAGCGTTCAAATCGACTGTGGCGCCTGTAAGTACATCATCAGAGGCCACAGAAACCACAGAACCGTCGTAGAAATTTTCTGTATCGTTTCACTTCTCCTCACCCGTTTTGAGTCACGTAAAATCGGGCTACACATAATGGTTAGAGTCTAAGTATTTCCAATCGGACAGTCGTATTAAGTGGATCATGTTAGAGGTTCAATGACTGTGACTGTACGTACAAAGATAAAGAGAGATAGAGCGCGATTTGTGCGGGATGGCGCGTAGTGTGCGTCATCCAAATGTAATGTCAGTTACACAACCGGGCGAAATAACTGCGCTATCGAAATTTTTATAGGCGAAAAATATCGGATCTGATATTGCACGGAATAATTATATGTATATGCTTTTTGCCGAAATATTAACGAACGATTGTGTACGCAAATCACTCGTTAAAAAGAAAAAAAAAAAAAATGCAATTTATATCTCTTATCCGATGCCGTTCACAGGTTTTCGCGGAGACAAAATGCTTTCAGCATTTTCAATTTGTATAATTTGTATAAATTCGAAAATATTAATGGAACACTGTTCGCATTCGAGCGAGCAGAGGGAACAGAATGCAAAACTGCTATTTACGAGGGTTATATGCGGTTTATGAAATGTGTGTATACGAACTAGGTGCACGTACAGGCATATATTATTCTGTAAATTATGTTCATATCTTATGTATATGTATATCTCAATCAGATCTTATCATCCCGAAGAATATGTAAATCTTTTTACCTTTTACAATATTCACTCAGCTGTAAAACTCAAGTTGCACCAAGCTGTAATACCTTTCGCTCAGAACGGTAAAACTTTTTTTACAGTCTGAGAGGAAGTCTTACAGCTTGTGTCCATCTGCTCCATGAAAACTTTCCTTAAGAGTTCCTTTTGTAATACTTATAGTAGAGAATGATGAGATGTTTACAGAATTATAATTAGCAGGACATGTAAGGAACGCGTGATGTTATAGATCGTGTAACGGAAATATTGGTGAATGAATGTTTTGCTTTAAAACGAACAACTGCAAAAGCATACAGTCGACAAATCAGAGTTATCATTTGTACAAATTATTTTATTTGAAAATTCGCATCAGGAAGATTCGGGAAAACACTATCATCGAGTCCTGCTTCAGCATTGAATCAACAAACTTAAAGATCTCAAGTGAAAGTCTTACTTAGGCTGTGAAGGACTCTTTTTACAACTCTTTTTTAGTGACACCGAGAATCAGGACGTTGCTTACTTATTTTTTAAACCGATTTCCGTAAGGTAACACTTCGAAATTTTAGGGAGATTGTAGATCGTAGAGTGTAATCTCGATGAAACATGAAAATAGAGTAAATGGTGAATGTACTTCAGATCAACTTGAATAGCAAGAAGATTGATTTGACTTTTTCTTTTGCCTATCATATTTGTAATATATACTTCTTATTTATAAAAGTGGATGTCACGTCATTTATACTTGTACGACATTTGACACTTTCTCTATCGCGTATTTTCTTTTAAATAGCTCCTTATTGTTTTCTTTTCGTTTTTTTGGAAAAATATTTTTTTATATCACATCACGATTTAATTGAACTCGAACAGAATTCTGTCATTTGTAAATTTGAAATCAAATCTTTTTGCGATCCAAGATTTATAATAGTGATTAAAACGCATTCGTGCTTACTTACACGGTGATATCTGCCATTCTTTTTAATAATTACGAGTAAGCGTACGAATTTTAATAAGACCTATACATTGAGAGATGTCTATATATTGTTATGTGTTTGCATTCTATATACTTTTGTAAATGCGCATTATTTTAGTCAGCCAATCTGATTTAGTGTGGACGTAAAACTGTGATTATCCAAACAGCCTTACTGTTTATTAAACAGTAATACGAAACACTAAACCGACAGTTTACTGAGTGTTATTCGCGTAAAAGCATCACATTAATCTCTTACAATGTATTTACTTTGGAATTCTTTTCCCTCGCCTACTATCATTAATTTTGCAAAGATGCAATATTATGTTTATAATATACACACATAATTATAGATTTGCTAGCTTGGAGTAAAAATCGCGAAAACGACTGCACGATTTTGGGAATAATCGGATATCTTGCGACGCGCATTATTTTTGCGAACACAAAATTATAATGCTCTAGAAAAAAAAAAATAAAAAAAAATCAAATCAATGGGAGTCTAAATAGAGACTGATTCCACGTCCATTTTTACGTCAGCTTTAATACCTGAACTAGAGCGTATCTATCTTTTAATTGTTACTTTATAACTGGCTAATCTAGATTCTGTGTAATATAGAAAGTCATTTGCAATATCTTACATAATGCTGCATAATATGAAGTTGATATGCTGATAAAAAGATACGATGACTCTGATCTACATTTAAGGATTTATTAAAAGATCTATAGATTACGCTACTGTGTAAAATTCTTCGTTTCGTACGATTTTCAAAACAAATCAATTTTCTTTGATGAAAAAAGCATGCAATTTTTTTTTCCATTACAAAAGAAGAAACACATCCTTTGATTCAGTAATAAAATAATATTTCAGCGAAGACTCGGCGCGCGAATAGAACAAAGAGAGCTTTCTACGCGAGTTTTTTGTTGTGCATCAAGGATTCGTTTTTTTTCCATCTCTCTTATGCACTAATGTAATGGTAGTTTAGACACTCGAGCCCCAAATTCTTAGCCGAGTTTAGCCGTTTTTGTCGAACAATTATATCTAAGTTTGTCTCGAAACTAAAAAGAAAAAAAAAAAGACTATTCGCCGTTTATTATGCGGATAAATGCGATTTGTTTGCATGATATATAAATAAGGCAGTGTGGAAAATATATGTCATAAGTGTACACATGTATATCTCTCATCATTGTTCAAATTGTACAAATTTGACTTCGTTTTAAAACATCTTCAAATGTCAAGACTTAAACAATACATTTATATATGACACTAGAAATTGCATTACAATAGACTAGTTAACTGAGATTTATAATATTTATAAACGTCGCATAATTTATTCGCATAATTTCGTAGATTCCTTAGGCTTCTTAAATTTATCTCGAATTTTAATTATTGCAACTCCTTTTTTTTTTTAACTTGCGAATATCGATATCTCTCTATTCGGCATGTAATATTAAGAATATTAGGTTTTATTCTAGATTTAAGAAATGTGCAGCTGTAATCTTCTCGTACAGAGAGTACAATATGAGGCAGTACTACAATAAACGATAGTCATACAACATCGTAAATCATCGTGATAACTGATTATATGTATCTACAGTAACCAATGCGAACATTGTATCTCGAATTTATTGTGAGAATGTTCGACCACTTGCGTGTTTACGAAAATAACCACCTTTTTAGCGTTATGTTAATCAAAGGAAAAAAAAAAAAGTACAAAAACTAAATGACATAAAAATATAATTTTCGCATTAAGTCACACTTTCGGCAGAATCGCGATCGTCATTCTCTGTTATTACACATTATTCACCGTATTATATCTTGTGCAATGCAGATTGGATTGTAAATTAATTAGTATGTAATTGATTCAGGTTAGGTGATATTACTTTTATATGCTATTTTAACTTATAATGTATTCTGTCACTTCCAGTAAATTTTTGCATTTGTGGTTTTTTTTTCGTGTCTTCTCCTTATATTTTTTTTCTGTAGCATTTAATATGTAGCATATAGAGCGAAATATATATATATATATATATATATATATAAATATATGTATTAAAATGTAGATAAAAATTAGTTTCTATTATTTTCCATCCCTATCCATCGCGATGTTTCATCTACGGATAATTTGAGTGGAAGTAAATCAATATACGTGCGAAATAACAGACGAGTCATATCAGAAAAGCATCACCTTATATTTGGCAGCATATCGATTACAATGTTTCAATCTTAAAAATAATGCGGTATAATTAATACTCTTATTATAATAATAAAAAAGGGCGATGCCAATTCATTACACACTATATTGGCATCCGCTTCATGTAGCAATGATAGTTCGATTCTATATAAAGAATCTAGCAACATATAACGATATATATATTTGCTAATGTCAGAATACTGAAATAATATAGATAAATCAGAAATACACCATTATTATACACCCAGTGCACGAAAAGGCAATCAATCAATTCGATAAATAAGTTTCGTTGAACCTTATATCGTCACACATGTGTTCTGCAAATATGAGAATTATCATGAAACATGAAAGTAGCATGAAACAAAAGCATAAAAACTTACGTGTACTAAAGAAAATAATTACATCGAAAATATATGATTATAACAACCACATCTTTGACAAACTGTGTAGAATCCTTACATTTACGTCACTCCTCTATTTATACCATAGGTAGGGAACCATTCGAATGTACTATTATAATACTTGGTATACCTTATTTGAATTTCATATATTACAAAATACGAAAACCATTTCGTATTTATTCATAAATAAAAATTATATAGATATATATATGTATAGAATTATTCAATATATAGAGCGACAATGTATATTGCCCTAAGTTTTTTTTCTTTTGGCCTTTTAGTAATTGAAACCTTACTATTGCGAATGTTACATAGAGTACGATGTGTTTAGTACAGTAACATCAATCCTGATAAATCGATTATTATAGTAAAGTTGTTAGTAAAAAGATTATTATCGTTGCGATATGGACTAAAAAGGGGAATTAGAATCTGTTTTCTTTCTCATTCAGCTGTTCATAATACAAAAATTGAAAAAACAATTCGCCCACATAATTTTCTAATTATATATTTATACTTATATATATACAATTTAATATAGTAAATACTTCAACCTGCAGTCTCTTCATTTCGATACAATACTGTGTCAATTCATGATTTATATTCATCGATCTATGAGCTTAACCACCAGAAGGGTGTATAATAGACTTTTTTTTTCGTAGAAAAAGAAAAATTTACATACAAAAAAATTAAATTTTTAAGCTTGACGTTTGTAATACAGTTCCAGTAGGTATTATCAATAAGTGTATATAGAATACAAATCTGCAATATATAATTGTATAAAATAATACAAATTGTAAGAAATATTTTGCGATCGAAAAATAAATTAGTACAGGAAGCATTGGGGATTCTTGCATTTTGTTGCACGAATAAAATGTATCAATCTTACAGCTAGAAAAGTTCGATAGGAAAATCACTCAATTTCATCATGAGGTAAAAACTCTCAAACGTATGAAAGATAATCACATCGTATGAATTCGCAAACGAATATGACCTGACAAAAAGTCATCGTTCTTAATTGTGCCCCTGTAAGATTAAAGATAAAGATACACGTGTAGGTCAGCCTTCTTTAATTCGTATTTATTGAAATCTCCCTTAAAGTTCGGTTATTTATTGAGATTATTCGTATTCTTATTACGGTTATTATATTCTATTGAAAAAAAAATGATGATAAACGTACTCTTAACTTAAGCCGCGTGCTCGTCTAAGCATTTGTTTCGAATGAGCGTTACACGAGTGGGATCAGTGCTCACGCGCTGCTCGTTCAGATCTCTGGATTTACAGGATTTACCGCATGATTCTCGTTCGAACAGTTGTAGCGCTGGTCACGAGCGAACAGGATCATGACTAAAAATATTGCAGTTGCAATCCGATCACATGCTCACTTTGACGTACCGACAGCGCCTTGACGGCAGCTCATTCCGCAGTCCTGAGCACACTCACTCGCGAATGCTCAGATGAGTACGCGGCTTTATATTGTGTCTCCATAGCGCAATGATCGACGGGGTAGTCTATGTATAAACTTCATCGAAAATAAAATATCTTGACCTTACAACTTTCGAAAGGTGATGCTGTATATTAGTATGCTGTTTCCGTTTTACTTACATTGGCAGCGCTTACACACTCTCGGTAGGGCTCTGAAATTCCGAAAGTGCGTGTATAGGATTTTGCACCTTCTTTTGCGAACCTTTGCGCACTTTCGCTCGCACTTCCTCGGGTCTTTCGGGTCGCACCAACGGCTTCTTCTCCGGGGCCTTCATCTTCCAAATGACGATTGGAGACTAAGCGGAACAAATAATAAATATGTATTAATACGATAAGCGCAATTTATACCGTACATTTTCAATTTTGTGCATTACATTGTGCTCCGAAATGATAAAATACTTCCTTAAAATCGTGGTTAATATTGATTCTAATAAATATCTATCTATTTTAATATCTGCATGTATGTAATAAACTTCTCTGTATTCAAATATACTCTACGCATTCGTGCATTCGTGATTTTTTCAAGATGACATACTTACATACTGAAAATCCACAAATGTTAGCGAAGGAAAATGTCATCAAAAATACGATATGAGCGATTAGCTATAATAATCTTCAAATTTTGTCATATTAAAAACTAATACAAAACCTAGTATTTCTACTATTTAATAATGCTTAGTTGGTGTCTTCTAATATGACTAAAGATTAAAATGTTTATAATTAGACAAGTTGATGAAAATTGGAGAATAAATCGACAAACTAATGAAAAATTTCAAATAAGGATTATCGATTACCTAATCGCAACGACTTTTAACTGATAAAATACCGAAGACTTGGCTGCTGCTAATTTATAAACACTGGCGAAACTTACCGTTACCGTAGATTGTCGTGGATACTTCGTTGAAGCGACGTAGGAAGCTTTCACAGTAAGCACGACAGCGTTCATCAAGTTTTTGGCAGCTTGTATCAGGGAGGTCGCGCTGTCTAGGCCGGAAACGATCAGCTCGCCGCTGATGTTCTGCACGTCCGCCTTCACTTTACTCGTAATGTTCATCTGGTGGCAATAGAGCGCGATACGTTGCAAGTACGCCAGTAGATCCTTCTTCGTGGAGCTCTCCGGGCACTGATCGGCGATCTGCCTGGTCAATTTGTCCAGCTTCGTGCCGGCTTCGGAGATCTTCTTCGCCGCGTTTATAACGTCCATCGTCGTCTTCAGGGGTCCTCGGCCTCGAGTGAAGTCCGTCATCTCCATCATGATCATGCACATGTGCTTGGCGAGAACGATGATATCATTGCCGGCGTCGTCCCACTTCGCCACTTCCTTGTCGAATTTCAGCTTCTCGCTCTTGAAGAACTCCACCTGCTGCAGAATCTTTTGCTTGTCCTCTTCCGGCATCTTCCTCATCGCCTCGCGGGCGGTCGTGATGCCGCTGATCTCCGGATACTCGTCCACGCCGTGTTCACCGGTCTGTGCGCTGGATTTGCTGCGCGTCTCCAGTGTGTAGTGCTCATCCAATTCCACGTCTTCGGGATCCAGGTCTTCGTCCGCCTGAAAAAGTGAAAATAAATTAGAAACAAGAACGGTCGTGGAGGCTTGACAGGCGTCGCGACGCCGAATCTCTCACCCTGTTCATCAGCACAGCTCGCCTGATTTCGCGAACTCCATCGTACACCAGTCTGGACGCGTCGATGAAATCATTCTCGTCCACCTCCTGCGCCGGGTTGCTGCGCAGTGCGTTTACGGCCTCCTCCACCCGCTGCTCGAAGTTGGGCATCACCTGTTTCCTGAGCACCTTCACCGCCTCGAGGACTCGCTTCGTGTAGATGCAGGGCTCGTAGTTGTCCATCTCGGCCTGCACGACGTTGCACACCCTGGCGGAGCGGCCGAGTATCGCGCCCGCGTGCCTGTCCAGAGTGTCAGCGTCGCCGGGGCGCACTTGCAACGCCAGCACGCACTTGTTGACGTCGTCGAGAATGTGATTCTCGGAGACCGCCAGGAAATCGTCGATCGTGGTGATGTCGTCCACGGCCTCTGTCAGGACGCGCATCTGATTCTCCCACGCCTGACGGAACACCTTCATGTTCTCCTTCGCGACTTCCGAGTTCCGCGCGGCCCACACGCGCGCTGCGTTGATCACCTGCGGGCACAAGTTCTCGATCTGGGCCGCGGCGTAACGCACCATCTTCACGCCGTCCTCGTTGTTCGACATACTGCACACCAGATTGGCAACCTGTCCGAGGCAAGAAAACCATTTTAATGATATATCTCGAAACGTGTACAGAAAATAAAATTCGGAAAAACTTTACGATTCATCATTCTATTCTCACATAAAAATTGTATTTACCTCTACGAGTTTGTTGGCATGTTCCGTGAAGATGAGCGCGTACTCTTCCACTTCCTTGACCCAACCTTTCTCCGCCGCTTCGTAGAGAGCCTGTAACGGCGCGCTCGTTTCCAGAAAACTATCTGACACATGATCCACCACGGCTTTGCGCAGCTGCCTGCGAAGATCACGGGTCTTCCTACACATGTGATCTATCGCTCTCTCTAAGCCTTCAGATTGTTCCTTAACGCCCATCTGTAAAATATATTTATCGTTTAGTGCCGGGTAGATTTATTGAAGCGTTACTGCACTTGAAATTTACGGCTGTAATTACTTCATACGCATTGTTAGTTTCAATTCGGTTCGTATAACAAAAACAAACGGACATATTATTACAGAAAAAGAATATATAATCATATTGCTAAAATAATGTTGTTAATACGCGAAATGTCTTCCAGAATATTACTTACATATCTGATTATATCAGAATATTTTAGGCAGCATATTTGCAGCAAGCGTTATTTATAAGTAAAATATATATGTACAAAATGTCTGATATATCGAGCCATTTTTTGCTCTTATATATTCTTTAATAAATTTAGAATTGATTTTTTTCTTAAGAAAAAATCGAAAGACTAATTATAAACGATAGAAAATAAAGAACCTTTTGAGAATTAAATTATAAAGAAGAAACGTTATTTTTTACTTAATTTCGTGATATTTAATGTTGAAAAATTTCTCTTTTTTTATTTCTCTCTACTTTCAGACAGCAAAAATGGATTCTAAATTGATTTAAATATCTATATGCAAAAGGTAGTCTCAGATAAATCTGGAACATACTGTACATATATGTTTACAAAAAACGATGTGTATAATTATGTACAGCATACTCTACCTTTCTATAGTTATGCTAATCTATCGCTTTGCTTATTGCATTTTCATTGCACGTCAATATTTTGTTATTTTACATAATTACCACAAGTGATATTAGTCATTTAAAATTTATAAAATTGTAGAAAATTAGGAAATTAATGAAAAAGATTGTGGGCACACAACTGATAATAATCTAACGGTTAGTGCTGGTTATTGTGTAAAAAGTATGCATTGGTAGTGTGTGAAAGATCTAAAATAACATGTATATGCGCATTAAACAGAAAACCCATAATAAGTATTTAATAATAAATATATGCAACCAAAGGTACAAAGAAAATGTAGGATCACTTCACATATTTACCCGTTTCCCACCCCGAGCGCGCTGTAACTGGCCATCACCAACAAAAACAAATCAGTAGAAAATTGTTTTAATAATTACATAAAAGAATATTGTACAGATCGCGTAGAAGTTTGTAACGTGAAATTAACGACAAATAAAAATTTTCGATTTAAAATTAGAAGCAGTCTCAGAGTAATAAAATTGTATATTATTTATATAAATAGAATGTAAATGTATGTACTTTCTCAAGAAAGAATGCTGAGATCAATGCAATACGTGAATACTGATTATATCAACATAATTTTATCTAAATCATACATTATTTCACTCAATAAATCAAAACTGTGAAAAAGAATAAATTAAAAATAAATCCACAAAAAATCTAATAACACTCAGCATCAAATCACTATCTATAAATCATATTGAGTTGAAACATTCGCATTTATATACATGTATTCAATCGAAGAGATCTCTATTTCTTCACATCCCTTCATCTATAACACACGTTTTATAGTATAATTATCGTTATAGTTTTACTTACATTGTTCATATATTCACTCAGGAGATCCTGAAGTGCCTGTCTAACCGCGTTACACTCGGCGACAATGCGCTCTCTACGCTCGTCGCGAGTGCACGATGAGTCCGCCATCAGCGCAGCACCGCTGATGATGCTCTCCAATCTTTCCTCAAGGCTTGGCCGCGTACGAACCTCGTTATACGCAAGCGGAGACATTACCATCCTCTCGTCGAAGTCGTCCAACGCGGCAGCCAATTCGCCCGGCCCGTCGTAAGGATGCTGGCTGTCGGGCGGCGTCTTTCCTTGAGCAACATCGTTTATTGTATTTACGGCCTCGCACACTTGTTTCAGCACATAATCACGATTCGCCTTGGCCGCCGCCAAGTCAGGATGCTGCACGAACACCTTCGACGCAGTGAGCAGCATGGTCGAGTGTTTCTTCAAGACGGCTCGGGCGGCTGCCAAGTCATCTCTGAGCTGCGGATCCTTTAGTTCTTGCTGACGCTTGGCCGCCTGATGAATCAATTCTGCAGCGTTCCTGCCGAATTCTTTAATGTTCTGAATCAGTTCACCTTGTGACGAGGCGTTTTTCAGTTTCTTCAGATCGTCTTCTACGACGTATAAAGATTTCAATAGCAAGTGAACATCCACCATATCCGCTAGAATGAGCAAACGCGTCACCGCTGACAGTAAGTTCCTTGCAGCGCGCACCATGTTGCCGCGTTTCAGCGATGAACAAGGATCTTCAGAAAATTCCCTATGCAAACGATTTATGTGTTAAACAAACGTAATACAGCGAAATAATATATTTGAAATTTTTATAAAAAAGACTACTATACCTAGCAGCAATGCTCATTGCTGCACCCGTTTTTCTTACTTCCTCTACAGCGCTTAACATCTCTGCTGTGATATCTGGGTTTTCATAGGCAATCTTTTCACCCTTCTCAATAAAATTGGTGGTTGCTTTCTCTACAGTTCCGACAAGTGCACTAGCCCTCTTTGATTTTCCTTTCTTCTTCTTGCTAGGACCTTTTGTGTTCACCAATGTAGTAACCTGGAGCACTAATGGTTCCAATGTCTTCTCTACAGACATAGTTCTTATCTCCAAGTTTTTGGGGTCCCATTTTAAAGTAATTGGCCCAAAGTGATCAGACATGTTTGTGGTTTTAATGTTTACTCTATAATTACAAAATAAAATATTATATTCCTGTTCTATAACAGCTTTATCTGTATTATTTTTAAATAATCTCAAAAATTATTGATATGTAAAATCACACAAAGTTTAAAGCTGTAAAATATTCTTTAGATTAACGCTTGACATGTAAAGCTTTCAATTGATTTGCATTAACTTGCAATAAAATACAACAGATTTATTTATACATTCTTATAAAGTTTAATTTTTCAATATTTAAACAGTTAAATTATGTTAATATCATATATCCTCAAATGATATAATTACATAAGTTTAGAAATTTAAAAATTTTATCTAATTTTACTTTGTAACAAATAACACACATTTAAATTCTTATTAATCAATTATAAACGTTAAATTACTTGCTTTAAATTAAAAGCATTAATTACACTTTCACAAAGATCTCTATTCTTCATAGCTACTCCTTTCATACTTTTTCCCACATTTTCTTTGTCTTTTTTTGTCCTACTTTTGTGAGTATCTAGGCATATCTAGACATAATTAAAAAAAAAAAACTAATGATTTTATGAATAAAACTGATAATCGTTAAAAGTAGAATCATCAAATTGGAATGCTCGTCAGGCGTTATCTTGTCAAAAATAAATACCATTGATTAGCTTCCCTCAGTTACGCATTTTCGATTAGCGTGTGACGGAAAATCGAAGCCTTTCAATAATAATATATTTGTCCTTTCATTCCCGTGTTATATTGCACATTTCGAAGCTCTAATAACTTTATTCCTGAGAATATCGCGTCTTTCGCGTATGCGTTGGCATACGGCGAGGAAGATAATACGGAAACGAATGAACCCGGCCTACCTGCATCAAAAATGGGAAGGGACGCTGCGATTTTTCCTTCCGTCAACAGCAGCAAGTTTGCGCGCGACACAACGATATCTCGTCCAAAAGTGGCCGCATTAAACGAGACGCCGAAATGCACCGATATCGAGCTTTACCGCAATCGTCTCTGATGTATCACCCCGTTGGCATTCACTTCTCGCTTGCTACTCGAATCCTGACGTCATTATTTCCGCTGGGCTCGGGGGATTGGCGATACAGAGCGCAGCCTGGTCTACGCCCGAATCTTAAGCAAAATGCACACTACGTCCGTTATCTGACATACAATGTCCAATAAAAAAGTTTGTTTCTTAGAGATAAACATGGCATCAAACAAAATCCCTAGGAAATACATTTTATTATTGGATTTACAAAACTTTACAATTATCATTGAGAGAAAGCTGCACTGGGCGGCGCGATGCAATCTCACTTTAATCTGTTTGAAACGCGCACATAAAAATCGACAATTATGTCACTCGGAGATGTCGGTTGACTTTAGAGCAGAGCTGCCAGATTGAAGACCGAAGTAACGTACAATCGAACACACACAAGCAAGAATCGTACGTGTGAATTCCGCGCTTCGGCTTACTTCGGTTAATAGAAGAGAGCAGATATATATTTTGCTGTCTCCTTCTTACAACGAGCTAGCAACGAAGGCGACGTTGCTCGCTTTTTGATACGCGTGACAACATTAAATAAAACAATTATGTTGCATTCGCGAATTGTAGTCAGCTGAGATGCAATGAATATATCGACCCGTTAAAAATCAATAATTAAATGAAATAGCATGATGTCTTATCGTTTTCTTTTAAACAGTAACACATAAACACGAAGCGGAATCAAAATTGTAAATTGATTAACTCATTTAATAAAATAAGAACAATCTTATTATTTAATCGGCGGATTGTATATATATCATAATAGAAAACTTATTAAAACGATATGTGTTATCTATATTATTAGTTTAAATTAATTTATTAATCGGATCGATATATTAATTGCATCTTATTGTCAGCTGACTGCAATCCGCGAATACGAATAACGTTATCAGTTCGTTATAAGAAGGTGACAGAAAAATATATATCTGTAACGGAATTTTGTAATGTTAACGATGTCGTTATGGTATCGTTGCGCAGCTATTACACGATACAAAAAACCTGCGCAACGATACCATAACGACATCGTTAAGGTTACAGAATCCCGCTACTGTCCTCTTCTATTAACCGAAGTAAACCGAAGCGCGGAGCTCACACGTACGCGATTCTCACTTGTGTTCGCGTTTGGTTGCTCGTGCTACTTCGGACCTTGAATCTTGTGGCTCTGCTCTAGAGGACCTTTGATCACGTCGATTGAGTTGCTGTTTGTTATCTCCATTTTGTTTGTTTCCTGAGATACGGTGAGACGTGTGGGACGCACAAAACAGCAGTGGTAGGCGCTACTGTGAAACTGCATTACTCTGCAAAATTTCTGTTTCGTTGAACACGTCCGAGCATACTGTCGTATTCAATCCGTTCAGAGGGAAACTCATTATTATGTCTCACGGTGGCAGAAATGAGTGCAGAATATACGTGGGAAATTTGCCACCGGACATCCGAACGAAGGACATTCAAGATCTCTTCTACAAGTTCGGTAAAGTTACTTTCGTTGACTTGAAAAATCGTCGGGGACCACCGTTCGCTTTCGTTGAGTTTGACGATCCGAGGTAAGCTTCTGGCAAGAGTTAAACACCGAGAATACGGCGCATATACTACGTATATACTTCCCTTTTTATTCTAACATATATCGTTATTGTACAATATTAATTCTTATTACATTAATTACGCTGGTTTTTATATAATAACTTAAAATGAAGCTATTTAATGTATACATGTGTTTTCAAACATTTGTGTTTGTATTTACGAAGCTACATGTGGCAGATGGCAAAAAATGTTTACTGTTGATATACAAATGAAAATAAGATTGTCTCTATCATAACAATAATAATCATTTTTATTCAAATATTCATAAGATTACAGAAATTATCAGGCATTTTTCATGTTTATCAGAAGAGGATTTTTGTTTAAGAATATGGTATTTCAAAACATGTATATATTTTTTTTTATTTTTTTTTCTATTTTTTGTAGAATTATTATTTAAGCTTAATGACATCATTTTGATCCACTTTATAATCTAATTTTCATTGTAATATTACATAAAATTATAAATTTTAGCTCCCATATGTTTGTTAAGATTCACAAATATTCTACTTAGATAATCTTACAAACTTATGTAATAGTTTTATCACAGAGGAGTTAAAAGTCTGTTATATCAAGGAATCGTACATCAACAATGTTTGCTTTTCAGGGACGCAGAAGATGCAGTACATGCGAGAGATGGTTACGATTATGATGGTTATAGATTAAGAGTTGAATTTCCGCGCGGCGGCGGACCCAGCAATAATTTTCGCGGTGGACGCGGAGCTGGGGACAGTGGCAGGGGTGGCCGTGGTGAGATGAGCAATTCCCGCGGCCGCGGTCCCCCTGCACGACGATCTCAGTACAGAGTGCTCGTCACCGGTCTGCCACCATCTGGTAGCTGGCAAGATTTAAAAGATCATATGCGCGAGGCCGGTGACGTGTGCTTTGCAGACGTTTATAAAGACGGCACCGGAGTCGTTGAATTTTTGAGGCACGATGACATGAAGTACGCTGTGAAGAAGTTGGACGATTCACGATTTAGGTCGCATGAGGTACGATTTTTCGTGAATTCTACAGCAGCTTTTGCATTGAGGCGTCAATTTTACTCGTAGATGTATTATTGAAATGCTTTTGTGCGCTACTTTGTTTTTAATATAGTTTGACGGCTTGATTTTCTTAGGGCGAAGTTGCCTACATTCGTGTGAAAGAAGACCACAGCGGTGGCGATAGAGGACGTAGTGAAGACAGGGAGAGGGGCCGCAGTCGTTCCCGAAGTTACAGCCCACGGCGTCGTGGCTCTCCTACTTACTCGCCATTGCGACGTAATTACTCGCGATCAAGATCTCGCTCCAGATCTCGTTCGTACGACTAGTGTGTACGTATGTGCTTCACATGATTACATAAGTACAGGTTTATATTGATATTTTCTCTTAATCAGTAATGTTCCATTATTGATTTAAATTTCACTTGAGGACGGCTTCTTCCAATCCAAATAGACTTTCTAAAGAAATTTAAATCAATTTTTGTAATTAGTTTAATTCATTGAATTTAATTGAGTTACATCTTTCGATTACATCTATGTATAGTGAAAACATTTTATTTCGTATAGATATATATATATATATATATATAGATATAAATACATGTACGTGTCACGATTTTTATTCAAAAATAATGAAATCGTGCTCGTTGTTACGTGTATGATTGTTTATTATCTAAATTATCAGAATATTCTACTTTCTCATTTAAAAATACATTCCTATGCATATTTACCAATTTGTTTTTGTCATCGTTTGCGAAATGCGTAACAATACTGAAAAGCATCATTAATGAGACTTTTGGCTAAATTAAATCTAAATCTTTAACTTGTCTATCATTTACTTCGATTTAACTTTGATATAAATGGTGGATGTACTGGTGTCACTGATATCTATTGTGAATATTTTTAATTGACAATAACTCATTCACTTTTTGCTAATGTACAAGATATCTCTAATAGTGGTGACTATTTGATCGCATTGGAGCCAGTGTACTCCATCAACTATATTGACAATTGAGACTTTGTTTGCACTTGGATATTAGCATAATGAAATATTATATTCTCAAGCTTGCCTAACAAAAAAAATTCTTGCCTAACAATAACATGCAATTGTACTTGTCAATAGATTTGAATGACCTTCAACCGTTTGAGTGCCAAGAAGCGTGATCGCGCTTCCTGTTTCAAAAGTGTCGAAAGTGCCAGAAAAGTGCGTTGCCAATAGGCTTATTGATTCTCAGGAAATTAATAATTTTTCAGTTAAATAGAGAATACATTAAACTGCACAATCATCTTACAAGAGCAATTCTTAAATATCAAGTTAAAATACCAAAACAAAAGAAGGAAGCGCGATAGCACTTGTTGACATTTTTCGACGTAAATGAGAGGCGCGATTGCGCTGCTTGGCAATTTTCGCACGCATTCTTGCGACCGCCTTTGGCACTCAAACGATGCATAATGTTCACGAGGTTATTCATTGATTTTGTAAATTGCGTTGGATTGCATTGTTGCAGGACAAAATATCTAAATTAATCAGACTAATGTAAACATACGATTATATATTAAATCTGCGAATAATCTAGACATTGGCAATTTGTCCGGATTTAAATTTTAAGTGGTGTACGATAAATTTGAAATACGGTGAAATAACTATTAATTGATATATTGTCCTTTGCATTTCTCTATTTGTGTGTTTTCCTTTCTCACGTATTTATATAATTAAATGAATGTTTCAAAAATTGAATTGCCTTCTGTCAAATTCGAAAGGAAAACATTCAACATCATGTATTTTACTATTATTGCAAAGTGATCCTGTGATCTCGCTTGATGACTTAATTTATAAATTGTTCGCTATATAATTTATAAATGTATGTGTTTCTCAAAAATGCCGAATATTTTTTTCTAGAAAAAAAATCTATATATTGTATATACAAATTTCACGGCTTTATAAAGCTACATCACAGGTATTACATTTGCATTGATAAACTATATATCTAACACATTACATTGTTTGCATTATATAAGAAACTAATGTATTTTTTCTTCTTTTGTATATTGGATTGGATTGTAACACAATGAATGAAAAACTGAAATCAACACGATCTTACTTCTTGGATGGATATAATACACATTCGCTTGACGTTGGGATGAGATGGATTGCGTTTCGGACGGATTTTGTAAGGAGATCATAAATTGTAAGAGGATTAAAAAAAAAAAGCATAGATGAAAATGAGAATCGCGAAAACAGGATACTTTCAAGAGGAAAATCAGGAGAACATTTGGACGAAACAAAGACGATTTGTTCCATTCAAGGATTCTCAATTAGCGGGATTTACTCCGGATTAGAGCTGGATCAGGAAACGTTGGCAAGTCCATTACGAGGAGGCGAAATAATGGTTAATATTTTTTTATTTTTTTTTGTAAACTTTTACAAGTTTCTAAAGTTTGAAGCAAAAGATTTTTATGTGTCGCTGTTTGAAAAAAAAACATGAAGAGAGTGGAAAGTCTTTATTACATTACGTGTTTACTTAGATTATCCGTTAAAGTGCTTCGAACATATCATTTCCGTATTATGTCGAGAAAAAAAGAAACAAACGTTCCGCGTTTATCCATTCACTTGTAATCTGAATAGTCAAACTAGTAATGGATTGTCAACTGCACGGATTCTATCGGAAGCATTTTCTTCATAATTCTAAGTTTCTTGGACTTTAGTGAAGATTTATTTTTCGAATCGCACTCATTAAGGACGGATTTTCGGCGGGGTGCTTATCCTCTTGATAACAGCATCAATGACATCGAATACTAGACTCAATTCTGTTAATAGCCATTATACGTATGGAAAGATTCGTATTTAGTGTTAACTTGAAAGGTGGAAGTGATCCCTGGGAAAGAACTGTCGCGCGTCTTTCGCGACTGTCGCATTGTCCGATTGGTCAGAGAATATGACGTGTCCGCCGGTAATCATGGTTTTGGTCGACCGATCGCGTAAACCACAGTGCGCGTCTTCAGGATTTAACTGGCATAAACAAGAGGATGGCACGTTTGGGTAAAGCAAACTGTCCGTCACATCTTGACACGAACTGGGCCCCATAGTTTTAGAGGAAGCGAACGATGCGACGGACAGGATTCCGGATTAGGATGCCGACAGGATTGGGAAACGGGATAAAATTAGTATGCATGGACGGATAAGGATAATTTTGGGATAAGGATAAAAATCGTTCAACACTGGACCGTGTCGTATTGTCACCGGATCGTGTCGAGCGGATCACTCTCTCGGATTCATTAAGTGAAAAAAAAAAAAATAAAACGATACGCAGTAATGGATGCGAGGATGTGGATTTGGAAGCTCGTTCACGCTTCACATAGGGTTCACGGATTTCTCTCCTAGGTCGGATACGGGATTTGGACTTGCGTTTAGTGGGATACAGTCGGCAAGATAGTTGGATGTCATTTATCTCGAGCGGAGATAAAACGGATGAGACGGCCGCTTGCCGTAAGGTATTTGCAAAACAGTTTATACCTGAGATATATACTATCGATATTTATTTCTGCATGCTTCCTTTGAAAATATTCTTATATTCGTATTTTCATTTTTGTCACCAAACAAAGGCAAAAGCAAATTTTAGTAACACGCAATACAACCTGCCTCGGAAAGAGACTTAAAATGTGTTTGCATTGATTAATCGATCCTCCTTTGTGTTCAGCTTCACTCGCATCGTCGCGAAATCTTGTCGCGCGTGACGCAAAGCTTCGTGACGGTGTAGCGACTAGTCGATAACTTGTTGAGTCTGCATTTTTTTCTTTTTGTTCAATTAACATCACAGAGACATTTGTATATTTCTAAAACACATCACTTCTGTTACTATCGTTCTCCAACAGTTGATTGTCATATGAACGATGTAGCATAAGGAAATAGAGCGGTAGCGTCCAATCTATAACGTTCTCGCATAGTGTGTATTTATCCATAAATAATTTTTCCAAATTGATAACAATTCCGGTTGCGCTTGTTTAATTATGTATTACATACGTTTATCGTCTGCTAATTTTCTTTATTATTCCGTTACATTTTATACATAAGTGCTGCATATAGTATGTACTTTTTCACGTCTATATAGGCACTGAATAACACCGATTGCTTCACACTTTCAATGGGATTTGTTCTAACATGTTGCTTTTTTTGCAAATCTTTTTTTTTCTTTAACACAGATTTTTGTGAACTATTAAATTGGTATATGGGATGATTAGTAATAAATACGTCAGTGCACATAAACACGGCATTGTTTTGTACAATCATCCCTCAAAGTCCGCAAAGCAAAGTATTTAGGATGTAATTCATTTCCTATATGCACTTATATAATAAAGCAAGACCATAGCTATCCTTTTCAAGTTAAGCGTTATAGTGAAACCTTAATTTTAATCGTTAATCATTTTCGTTGCCTATTTGATTTCTCATTATCATGCAAGTAGCTACACTTCTTGGAAGCTGGAAGCTATAGAATTCAGCATGTGCACAAAGAATTTTCTAAATAATTTGTGTATAAAAGGTTTGAGGTGTCTGAGAGTTAATTCAGATCAATTAACGATCAGAAAACAGTTTATTCACAGTGAGATCTATTGAGTTTTGGAAGGAACAAGAAGTAAAATGTTATTTAAACGAGTGGATCTACGCGTAAAAAATTTGAAATCAATATATAAAGATATAAATAGAATTGCAATATTGTTCATTGAGAAATTTACAATATCTTAAAATCCCTTTCTGCTAAATTAATCTTTTAATAACAGGTATAACGACATAACAAGTATTTGAAAAAATGCAAGTGCTTTATTTAATTTGTCAACTCAAGTTGTGTGTTATAAGTACTACAATATTCATCGTAAACAACGATTTCGTCCGGCGCCCGCTCAATTAATCTCTCGGATGGGCGTAATAATGAGGTCCTTAATGAGCACGTTCTCCGGAGTCTGCAACGTGAAGAGTATAGCCTCCGCCACGTCCTTCGGTTTCAGGGCCAATCGTGGATTCTCCTTCAGCCACTGCTGGGTCATCTCGGTCTCCACCAAGCCCGGGCAGATGTTCTGTTGCGAAGAAATGAAAAAAAAAAGTGTTAACAAAAATATACTAATTAAACAAATATATATTCGAGTGAAGGTATTTCGTCAAGTAATCTTTTTATACAATGTATCTCTTCAAGATGTTATTCTAATAAAAAAAAAAAAGATCATAAATTCATATCGTCTATTATTGTCTTCTAATTCTTGGTTTTGAATTTTCAGTTCGTCCGCAAAAATCACGAAATCTTCGTAAAAAGACGAATTTTTTTATGGGCGCAGAGTGTTAGATGACTTAAAAAAAATTAGAGAATTCTTTGTCGCGTGAGTATAATTTTTCAACAAACATATGCGAGTGTACTCACGATCACTTTGATGTTGGACTCGTTCTGCGCCAATTCCAAACGAAGACTCTCAGTCAGCGCGGTGAGCGCGCTCTTGCTGGAAGCGTATGCCGGGGAAATGGGCCGATCGGAAGCGAGAGGCAACCATTTCAGGCCGATTATGTCGTTGATGTTGACGATAATGCCATTGTCCAATCCTGAATCGTTTCATTTGTCGCGTGTGAAAACCACTTTTTTCTACGAATCACTCTCGTGCGATGAAAATAAGCTAAAACTTACCCTTGTTCTTCATCAACTGCAGAACTCCCTTGGTAATAAGCGTCAAACCGAGCAGATTGATGTCGAGAGTCTTCTTCAGCTCCTCTATTCCGCCGTTGATGCTGGACCAATCCAGATTGATACTGGCGCTGTTTATCAGAATGTCTATGCTGCCCAAGTTCTTCTCGATCCACTCCAGCGCGGTCTCGATCTCGCTCTGAATGCTCAAGTCGCATTGCAGAGGAATGAGCTTGCCGGGTTTGCCCTTCAATTCTTCCGCGAGTATCTGCAAAAATTCGAGTGTTCTTTCAGCAACGCAAAGAGAGACATGCTAAAAATTGTAACTCAACAATTTTGTATGCTGTTTTACTGCGTTTTATGGGAATCGACAACTCTATGATTGAATTTTCTTGTTAATTTATTTAATTCTCTACTGATTCAATGTTACCTTCAGCTTGTTCAAGTCGCTGGCGAGGCCGATCACCTTGAGTCCCTTCGACACCAAGTCCTCCACGAGCGCTTTACCGATGCCGGAGCTGGCGCCGGTGATGAGGACGATCTTGTTCAATAGAGAAGTCATGTTGAGACTCTGCGTTCTTGCTACTATGTGCACGAGAAAATACCGCTCACTGCTGCTGGGAGCTTCTGCATGCCCATCTCCGTCCACGACACCTCTTTATACTGTGCTGAAAATGTGGCCCTCGATTAGGAGGTCGCGCATAATCTGCGTCTAGATAGTCCATTGTTTTCTGGATGCCCTCTGGATGATGCATTCGCACGCGAGTATTGCATATACTTATTATTTATATCAACGCGATATTACTGCTTGTTTTCGGCACGCGAATCGTTTTTGAAGGGCGATACTCCCGACTCAAGAGTAACGTTGTGTATTTGTTACAGATAGCGCGTATCGTCGTCCGATATCACTGAGACGCGTTCTCGAATGTTGCTTATCGCGAAAACGAAATATTATTAATTGAGGTGAAGATACTATTTGACACATAATTTCTATAATGTAGATAGGTGTTTCACCTATGTCTCACGTTCTTGTTCTACTCTTTCTTGAAATCAACATATCGTGGTGGAGCGCATATGCTTTTAAGGTCTTGCTTCTTTCAATTTTATTTAATTTTAAAATTTTATTTTAATTTAATTTTATCTTAATTTATATATATTTTCTTATATTTTAACAAGCTTGAACGCTTATTATATGCCTTTTTCTGCATTTGCTATTTAACTCTTAAATGCTGACGCTGGTAAAATTTTCGTAAGATCTAAACAATCATGAAAAATTGCAAGATACATCAAAACATGAATGTACGAATGTTGAAATTAATACAATGCTTTTTAACAGATGTATCGCTTTTGATATTTAACATAATAGCTGAATGCATTACGCGTCAGTATTCAAATTTCGAAAATAAAACTGGCGAATATATTTAAAAGTTAACTATTCAATGTGCAACTTTGAAACGGCATTATCTCGTAATTATATATAAATAAAGTGAGATACACCGGGAACGTCATGCTGATGAAAATTTGCGTGAGGGTTTCCGAAGAAGACGATAAGACGTTTCGCGATATAGCTAAGAATGGTTGCATCAGAATTTTCAGAAAGTGACGATCTTTCGCGAATCGGTTGACGACCTATTTCATCAGCTTCAGTGCAGTCTGTTGTTCGCCGACGAGGAGATACGCTATTCTTATGCGAAAGCGCTTCCGCACAGCGGTCCTTGTGAGGATTCTCAAGATTCGAGAATACTTTTCCTCGGAATGATCGACCGGTCGCCTCGCGAACCAAGCAGTTTAGGTTCTCGATGATCTCTTTTGTCAGGTAAATCGTTTGCTTATTCTAATATAAATGGCAACAGTAAAAGAAATGTGAAAATGTTGAGGATAAATCAGCAAATCCATTTCATTATTGATATTCTCTCGTGAAAGGCACAATTGTTACATTTCATACTAATATTTGTAAAAGATGTGTACAACTGGTTTGAAAATCAATCACCATGATTCACCCAGAGGCCTCAACACGACGTCTTGTATCTGCAAGAAGATAATTTTCACAGTTAATTTTGACGCTTTCAAATTATTTCAATTTTGTACAATGAGAAGATGGCATACCAAAACGTGAGGAGGATTCGATAGCACGTAAATCGCCGCTGCCGCGACATCATCCGCGTTTAAAGTCGGCGTCGCCGCCATTGCTTCCGGGGAGAATATGCTGTAGGACGCCATGAAATCCGTCGCCACCAAGCCGGGGCTAATATTCTGCGTACGAAAAATGTAAGTAAATTTGTGTGTATCACAATTTTTTCATTCAGTTTGAAAAACACACATTTTACTACATTTCTAATTACGTGCATTTTTAATATTACAATTAATATAAGTTTTAAGATGTGAAAAAATAGATCCTTTCTTTCATTCTATGTATTGAATGCTTGCCGTGACGCGTATACGTGTGCCTGCAAGCTCGTGTCGCAGGGTTTGAGCGAGGCCGGTGACGGCGCGCTTTGACGCCGGATACACGCTGAATCCTGGTATAAACGGTATTCTCTCGGCGGCCAGACTATTCACGTGAATCACAACGGCGTCTTCAGCCGTCTCACGCATCACGCGAACAGCTTCGCGTGTGCAAAGACAGAGTCCCAGGACATTCACGTCGAATACAGACTGCCAGTCCTCTAAAGTGCCGTCTGTAACACGCGTCAATATTCAACGTTAAAGAAAGAATAACATTTTACATTAGAAACATACTTCAAAGATGATTTTTTTACAGTTTTTGCACGATTATTCTCTTTCATCTAAGATAACTTTTACCTTGAATTTCTTTTTAATAAATTTATTTAATTTAATAATCATGTCTAGTTTAATTAAGCATCTTCACCTATGAGCGAGGATTCCTTGGTAATTCCAGCGCTATTCACGAGAACGCTTATCGGTCCAAGATTCTCCTTCACCCACGCAAAAGCCGCGAGTACGCTTTCCTCCTTGGTGACGTCACATTCCACAGGATGGAGCTTTCCTGGAGAATCCTCTAAACTGTCGGCAATTTCCTTGATTTTCTCCGCTCTCCTCGCAAAGCCCGCCACTATCATACCTGAAATAAGACAATCTATTGCTATTGCAATTAAGAGCGTTATTACGCTCTAATTCGAAGCAGTTCTTTTTACATTTTTGACACATTACTTTACGAATTTATTATATTAATTATTATACAAAAAGCGTTAATCTTGTTTTCATATGAGCGTAATGATTATTGCGTGATAATTGTGTGTTTATTAATGATTATTACATTTTTTTTTTCGATTAGACTGGCAGTTATCTCACGCCGACGAGTCGATAAACCCTTCGACATTATACTTAAAATTGCAAAATTCATTGATTAAAATAAACTTTAATATGTTATTAATCCCAACACTTCCTCACCATGTTTAAGGAGACTCCGCGCAACCGCTGCGCCGATCCCAGCACTGGCTCCAGTAATCACGGCTACCTTACCAGTCCACCGCTCCATCCTCTTGTAACAAGATTCCAACGCGACTGCGAAGTACGAGTCCTCCGTAATAAGATCGTGCCTCCGGATATCAATACGTAAAAAAGGACAGACGTTCACCAGGTACGAAATCCGATAGCGACTGACCACCGCCTGGCCTCGATCAAATACGATTAAACTTGTTTATTAGATTGAATCTCAACTTCTCCGATGATCTTTAATACTTTACATGAGAATTAGATTAGAATTAATTTGATTACCCTTTTCTTTTGCGTTCGAAACTTATTTTTTTTTTTTTTTTTTTGTATCTTTAAAAATATATATAGATATTATTGATCTATTATTTGTAGTTTGCTGCAAATGATTTGCAAATTTTAGTCATATTTCTCAATTGATTAATCGATCGATGCACAACTTAATTGTGTTTATTATTTTTTTCATTAATTCATTTTTATTTCCGCTGTTTTATTTGAATTTCTTTTTATATCTTTATTCAGAGTGAGTTTGAAGAATAATTTCTATAAGTTGGAGTGGCTTCAATTGATAGCAATTAGATTCGTCCTAAAATCGATTGGAAAGATAATATTGTAATTTGAATTGCAAATATCCTCCTGTTATCGCTTTAAACATGTCCCAAGGCCGGCGAAGCGCATTTATCAATCAAGCTTAACGAACGGCTAACTATGGCATAATTAATTGACCACATGCGTCCGCACGTGTCACTCATTATTATTTATTGAACGACATCGTCGTTAAATTACAATACGCTCTAGCGTCCTCCATTCTGCATCAAGTAAGCTGCAATTAAGAATTCAAATCGTGCTAGATCGCAGTTGGGTGGAAATAAATAAATATCAGCTGATATCGATTTGGCTACAAGTATATTTTGGGCATAAGGCGTCTACATGGATGAGTACTATACAATGCGAGGTATTAATTTCTCTTCTAGAGACCTAAGGTTTATTGTATAACCGTGATATATCTCGAAATGACAATGACCGACCGATGACTGTATCGTCTAAACATGGTACCGACGACGAGAATCTCTAAACATCGGGATTTAGGCAGACAAATTTGTTACGGAGGGATCGCGAAGTTCGTGTGCTTCTTCCTTTAGAAATGTTTAGAAGAGAAACATATCCCCTTGCTCTTAGAAACTCCCCCTACCTACACCCCCCCCTCCCTCCCACCCTCTCTAACTCAGCCGGCGAACGAGCTTTCTACGAATATGTATAGTCGTATTAAAAGACGAGAAATAAAAATTGTGTTTCACGCCTGTTTGCCTACGACGTCGCCGATTATTTACAAATCTCCGCATCCTTTTTCTCTTTACAAATATCTATATCGCTTCTTACGCTGCAAGAAAATATATACTATTTCCTCTGATCATCTGTGTGACTGTACGCTACGTTTTTACTTCACGCTGAGTTCGCGACTAAGTGTACAACACCTCCCTTCCGCCCTAGACTGGTCGTTTCGTCTATTCTACGCAACGCGTACTCTTAATCGCAATTAATCTCGGAAAGAATCTACGTATAATGTATTATTGTACGGCAAAGAAAATTACAATGACAATTTTCGCGGAAAAAACCTCGCCCCGCACTTGGTGCCGAATTCCTCCGACTGTCAACGCATCCGGAAGCCGCGATCTCGTTGTAGTTCGCGACGCTCAATTACCGAGTTCGCGCTTGGGTGAAACATAAGACGTAATTATTTCACAGCGTTTCAAAGATGTCGTATTCTGTTTTCGGGGTATTGTACAGTTACATTTACATTATTACGAATAATGCCTATCACTTCGGGAACATTACATGTACCCTAAACGAGCTCTACGAGCTCCACGAGAGAGAGTTTTTCTTTATCTTCTGTATTCGAAACCGTACAAAATAATCATCAATGTGTATTTGCTCGAGACATAGCACATGCTTGAGAGATAGTACATTCTTTTTTTTTTTTTACACATCCTACACATGACATTTTCGCTAACATTTTACATGCACAGTTGAAACGAAACGAATCACCGGCTAAATCCGATCGCAAGCGTAAAGAAAGAGAGAGAGACAGCAAACGAATAGACAGGTCCGTCGATGATGTATGTTTCTTTGTTTTTTCGTCGCGTGATTCACGTATCTAAGACACGATAGGAATAATTTCGACAGTGGTGATCAAGAGTTTGGCGAGGACCTCGCAATTTGGCGTTTATCTATCGACACCGACTACTCTCGACTATAAACACGAGCTAAAACCTTGACTCTTCCAATCGTGCGAACGCGATCACAATTACATAGATCTTTGTCGCGGCGCATTGTAAAATTGTACCGCGCCAATTACGAATATTTATTGTATGTTTAATTGCTTTAGGTAACGCGCGCACGTATGTGTTTTACGTGCGCGGACGAATATAAGAATACAATAGCTATCACATTGACGTAGGACTACGTAGCACTGAATGAAACTTCGCGCCATGAGTCTGATATTAACGAATTAAGCTAAGGATAGATATTTCATTTTTCTTAATCGTTACGATTTTCCTTTGATAATTTTTTACTTCCGGAGAGGAAGAATGCCGATTTATTTGAAGAAAACGGAAATTAAGACGGAATGCTTCTGCGTGAACGGAATGTCGCCTTGTTAACTTGCCCATATTAACTCTCAAATAAATCTCTGAAGAAGATAGCACACACTTATACCCAAGGTAGACAGGCGTAAGGGGCGCAACTATTCTTGTTGTGGAGGCTGACGAAGGGAAGCGAGTGTCTTTGCCTGTGTCAGTGTTGACGGGAATAAGGGTCCAGCTGCGTGTTTCTGTGCATCTGCTGCGGCGTTACATTGCTCGCTTGTGGTTGCTCCTGTCTGTGCTGCTGATGACGGGTTTGCTGATGGTGCTGTTGCTGCTGCTGGTGTTGTTGCTGTTGCTGGTGGCGTTGTTGAGGTGGTTGCAGCGTATGCTGCGATTGCTGTGGCTGTTGAGGGGATTGCTGCTGCTGCTGCTGCTGTTGATGTGGCTGGCCCTGTTGCTTTCGTTGCTCCGATCCAGCCGCCACATAAGAAAATACGCAGAGGACAGCGTAACAGATATCAGATGCCTGCGAATCAGATGGTCATTCATGTACACACATTGTGCTAAGTATACGCAATTAATTTGTTGGAAATTCCGACATGCTGTCGGACATCAAAACAAAACTATTATCAAATTTTAAATTAAATTAATTCTGATTCCAATTTGAAATAAATTAAGGAATAATTTATGAAAACGAAAATAAAGATTTACTGAACGGAACTGAAAAAGAAAACAAACTTACGTGAAACAAGAAATCAAAAAACTCAGGGATAAGCCTCGGTATCATTTTCGCACTTATGTTTATTCTGTGTCTCCGATGGAAGCTTATGAAGAGTAAATGCGACGGAAAATATTCTATGCAAGCAACGAACCGCCTCTTCAGCCTGTCACATAATATACAGCTACATAACTGATAAATGCAAACATAAATAATAAAGCAAAAGTATCTCTTATACGTTTAAAATAAATATTTTATTCGGACGAAACACAAATATAACCCCGACAAAATTAAATTGTTTTAGTAAAACAGATGTGTTATCATTTTTTTTTTCTTAAATAGACATCTTTTCTTATTGCAACAAATATTTTATTTTTTTGCAGTAAAGAATTATGAGACACGCGTACTCACCATTTGTGACTTATATTTACGTTGAATTACTTGTCTAGTTTTAGGATCTGTAACAGAAAGACGCCAGTTAATGTCGCGATCTCCAAACGCTAATTCTAAATTGCAGCGTAAGCGTGTGATTCAGTATCAGCGAATCTATTTTTCGCGAGTCTATCTTCTACGGCGTATTAAAGCGTATATTAAATCGAGGCAGTATTCCATGTGTGACTTACTGAATTCTTCCAAAACAAAGATTCCATCCTTTTGAGTAAAGCACTTGCGGATATGATCGAGTCTTACAAAAAACTGCAAATAACACAATCGATTTGCGTTAGTGGTCTGCGCATCGCGCGTACGTTACGAATCTGGATCTACTCGATCATGCACTCGTTGTGACGATTCTCTAGAGAGCCTAATCTTATATATATATATACGCCGATATAATAATATATATCGATCGTGTGTGCGAACAGCTCTTTGACAAGCGTGAAAATGGATCACGATGCTCGTCCGACGATAAGCGTCTGTTTCAACCCTCCGAGCGCTTACTTCTATGCATTTTCATTACTTTTTATCTTATTTTATTGTATCAATACTACTATTTTTGGCCAATTAAGCAGATTTATAAAATTTTATTTATGTAACTTTCTCTATGCAATTTAATTTCATTCAGAATTTTGATGCGCTCGATGGGTTTTGCACAAAAATTGTACTTTATGTACTCTCATTCTATTTGTTTCAATCAACGCGCGTCATCATACGGAATTATAATATAATTGTGTGCGTATGTGTGAATTAAATGTCTCACTTTTTAATAAAATAAAAAATTGCTTATTGATCGCCTTCACGCATGATGACGCGCGTGATGTACATCGAACAGAAAGTCCTCAGTTGAATCCGTTGTAACATCTACAATTGTAATAATCATCCTTGCTGTTATTATACGTCGCTTATGTGAGGCACGACAATAAAATATGTTTTACATTCATGTTAGATGCGAAGCGATGCTCGTATGTGCTAAACATATTATTGCGATAGCGTTTCTTCCGTTTTTCTAATAAATGCACGGTCATTTCATCTCCGACATATTAAGCCTGCACATGAATATTCATTCCGCTTAATATTTTAATTACTTTAATGCTTTCTGATTTTGAACGTTTCTTGAACATAATTTCACTTCTCAAATAATTTCTATTACAAAAAATTTGTAAAAAAAAAACTATTGAATGATATCAGGAATAATGTCTCAGCGATAAACATTGAATCGCATTCTAGAATATTATAAGTTTTATATTTAATATGATTTTTGAGCGATATTAAAAATATCCATTACGTGCGGAAAATGTATGAGCTCATAAACGAAAGAAACGAGATCGGAGGATATCCTAGATATTTCTACATGCAAACGTGCACGGAATCTTTCCGATAGCCGTGCAATAATTGCCTCATAAGAGCATGCTCAGCCTTGCATAATAATTGCTACATTTTGATTGCAAATTTAAGCAGCAAACGATTATTTTCGCAAAACTCAGCTTCTACAAAATTAATAACTTGTAGAAAGCATATTTAAAACAAATATTCTTGCGTTATTCAGTGATGAAACAATTAATATCGTAAAACTACGGAATCCAATCTTGAATATCTTACAGTTGCTGAGTTTTGCGAAAACGAAACGCTGAACGAAAGGGCCAAAAGCGACGTATAAAAAAGCTATTCTAGGATTAAAATTTAACAAAGACACCATGCATCATTTAGCAGCCGTAATCTCGATATAATCGACTTCTAAGCAAAATCTAGCGGCAGAGCAGCGACGGCAAACAGCAGCAGCGGCGGCGGCAACATCAGCGATATTATAGCTGCGGGCGTTAATAGCGGCAGGCGTAATAGCGGCAGGCAACTCTGGAGATGGCCTAAACTCAATCGTAAAATGTCACTGATTGCTTAGCGTCGATAAGTTGCTAAATGTGCAATTGTATCATCTAATACAGACCGGTGGACGTGGTTCGATCGACAATGATGCACGGTCGTGATATATATATATCGATCGTGGGGGGGGGGGGTGGAGGGTAATTAAGGGGGGGGTGGTAAAAAATCGAGAGAGCGGGGAGTATATACGCTGTATATTCGGGGGGATAGATCGGAATCGGTTACAATGTCGTAAAACAGGGAAACATTATGTATTTAGCAGTGCCATGCCAGAGAAGTGTAAATAATATCGTGACGAGAAGGTGGAGGCTCGCGCAAGTCATAGTCCTCGTGGTCTCATTCGTAATATACGATCGGACAATCACTATACAGCACGAGAAATCATTGCTCTACTACATAACTAGCAGTGTGTGGGTGGACTCCGAGCGATGTGTCACGACCACATAAATCGGGTAACTACTCTTTTTTTTTTTTTCTAATTACTTCCGAAGCACACTCGATCAAAGCATCAAAGTATTAGATAAATTTTTATTGCATATCTAAATATTAATTCGCGATCGATTGACGGTGATGTCGCAATGGATTCTTTCGCGATCGAGTTACTTGAACAATGTTATGCAAGAATTATTTGACCCGCTAAGCTGTGATTTTAATTAAGAAATTAAGTGTAAGCTGTTTTCTTACTACTGTCTTATTTATATATGCAAGTTGTTTTCTTCCTTTTTTTTCTGTAACGTGCGTAATACTGTTTATTTGTAAGCAATGTTGAGCGTTTCATTATCTGCATTCTGTACATTGGATGACTTGAGAAATCGCCCCCGATTTTGCTGGTCGACTGCGGTATAAATATGGAACATTTGCGACACTACGGATGTTTATTGCTATGCACAGTTCACGGCCGCACTCCAAAATCTTACGTGGCTCTTAAATGAGACGCAGCTTGCCCTCGCGAATACAACTTTCGTTTATTCTCACTTCAACTCAAAATCGAAATGAAAAAGAAAAACTTGTCAGTCGGAATTCCTTCCGGAAATTCTGTGGAAGTAGGCCGAGATACTTGTCATCGATCCTCGATGAAATCGTCTCGAGCAAAAAATTGGCAACGAAAGAAAAAATTTCGGCGAGTACAAAATCTCTCGACGAGCTTGTTTTCACAATCGTGACCGAGAAAGATACGGTGTGTAATAAAAAAAAAAAAAACGTGGAAGCTGTTAATGATGATCGTGACTTAATGACTGTGTACGGACTTCTCATGTCGAGTGATAGGCTATAGATATATAATATATAGTTGCATTGTGTGTGCATCGAACATCGCTCTACAAGTTGCACTAAACACTACTTACAAATATCTCATCTAAACGATATACAATATATAAGGTAATGTCGTCGGACTTTCGACTATATGCGGCAAACACTGTTCTGCATTTCATCGTTCATCACCGGATACCGTGGTGAGGTATCAGCTTTATATATATCGTACGGAGATACATATACGTATATATATATATATATATATATATGTGTGTAGATATATATATATATTACAACTAACACCGATCGATCGTAGAAAAAACAATCAAGATAGACAGAGCAGATCAGTGAATTCGAATGCAATTTAAGAATGTAGGTAGATATATAGTATAATGGTATATATAATAAAAAATACGGCCAAAAGTAATGGTAAAAATAAATAAGCATCTCCGGAACACGGCCAACATTGAGTATATAGTCAATACTGAATTCGTATAACAAACAATGATTGATTTGATTTGATACCTCGAAATCCTGTTTGCCCAGCCGCAGGGCAATGTCGATGGACGGGACAAGAAACAGAAAACAGAAAAACAGAAAATTAAAACCCTTGATAACAGCAGTTATCCACTCAATTAAGATATAGTATATATATAGAGAGAGATAGAGAGATAGAGAGAGAGAGAGAGAGAGAGAGAGAGAGAGAGAAGAGAGAGAAAGAGAGAGAGCTGTATACGATGATATTACAGCTACGTTTGCTTCTTCTTTTTTTTTATCACCTAACGTCATGGCCAATCGATGTGAACATCAAAGGTATAATATTCATTGTTCAAGGACCATCTCAAAAGTTCCCCAGGCTGAGAAAAGTCTATCATCCCGAACGGAAACTGAATACCGAGCGCAATATCCCACGGATATTTCGTCATTCGCGCGAGATTCCGTCAAGCATATGATGGGATCCGCGAACGTTTATCGCCGCGGTGTGTCGGTAAACAGCGATTTAAGTGTAATGGTCGCGAGATTTTGTTGCATTTATTATCTTCTTCTTTTTTTTCTTTTTTTTTTCTTATCTCGAGCCACGAATAGACTTTCCTCGCGTATGACCACGACAGATAAAAAAGTTGTTAGACTTATATATGGAAAAAATATAATATAGCATCCAACATTCAATACAAATGATAAGATATAGGAGTATAGTGTTCAAAAAGACAGTCTGTATATATATATATGTATATATCGCCCTATACCTTATTTCCTATAAATATATATATATATATAAATGTAATGATATATATATAAATGTTATAATATATATATAATTATATAATATACAGATAAAAGAGTCTGCAACTGCACATCGAGCTTCCATGCAAGAAAACATTGATTATATAACGCCTGAACACAATATTATCCAGTAAAAATAACCGAGAAGATATCAGAGTCGTAATATAAAACTTGTCGAGTGCGTTACGCGCGGGAATACAATCGCGGGAGATTAATCAGAGCTCTAGATTAAAATGCGACACGAGTAGAACGATTATTCTTCCAGAAGAAGTTGTGTATGTATGTGTATACCTGTATATGTGTGTCATGTGTATGTAGATAACAAGGTATCTAGCTCGAAGATAATTACTTTGGTTAATAAAATTTTTTAGATAAACTATTTTCACGCTAGACACCTCGCAGACTAAGCGTGCTCTTTTTTAACCGCGGATTCTCCGATTAATTCAATTTTTCCTTCTTGAAAATTTTTTTTATAAAAAAATGATATCATTTTTGTAGTCATTGTTAACGTTAGTAAATAAACTTTAAAATAAGATTTTGTTTAAATTTTCATTAAGTGCAACAGAAATCAGAAATTATTAGGTACATCGACATCAAAGGAAAAACTGTCTTATCAGCGATTGAAGAATTCGCCAGTCAAAAAGAATCAAGATCGATCTGCGACATCCTGTGTACATGCCCATTTTTTTTTTTTCGTAAAGTAGAAAGAAATTCCTATCTCTTCATCTCTCTTGTAGAATCTCTCTAGTTTCATTTCTTGATATAGATATTTGTGTTGTTATGAGTAACGCGCGTACGAATTTTGGCGAATATGATAGATAATCCGGGTGTCACGTGATCCTTTCCGATTTGGACTTTGGAACACGTCAATTGAATAATCGTCGGTCAAACTACCTTGGCGAGCCCGACCAGTCCTATCGCGGACGCATATCGCGATGAATCGCGTACAGAGGTACAAATCAATTAAAGCAGATCGTAAGTAGCTAGCAGTGGGAGATAATATTGAGTGGTCCTTGCATCAATGCAATAATGAAAAAATACACAGAGAGAGAGATATTAAATGATCGAGAGAATATGAATGGTAAAAAGTGGTTGAGCGATGACGAGATTTCCTATCTTGTTCGATTCGATTGAGCGCTGCCATTCTTGCATTCTTTTCTTTTTTTTTAATCAATGCGGGTTTTTTCCTTTAATCAAATAATTACGAGACGATCGCGATCATCGAGCCTAAACGAAGGATATCTTTCTTTTTACGAATGCACCCATAGCTCATGGTAACACAACATATTCTCTGACGTATGTTCAATATATTTTCGCTGAAATAAACACATTATTATATACGCATTAATAAAGAGTAAACGGTAGCATCGGCCAAAAAAGACACGATATCACATAATCAGTCGAGAAAAAGAACGAAAGGTGATAATAAATCCTCAAAGTTCCCAATAAATATATACGGTGTCAAATGCGATGCAATATGACACAAACAATTGGACGTAGAAAAGATATATATAAATATAGTAAATAAGAGTCTGCGCAATCCTCGAGAGAGTCTCGGACTCTCGACTCCTTCCTGCACTGTCATCACAGCGTAAAGAGTGTATGGCTTTTGCGCGAGTGTGAGTCATACCTTGCTATTCGCGAAGAGAAGACCGACGCCCTCCATGCAAACCTGCAGGAGCCCGCCCTCGCCCGTTCGCATGTCCTGCACCGGAAACTCGCCGCCGAGCTCGTAGCCCACGTTGGCGCCTCGCCCGCGAGCCGCCGCCTTCTCCATCGCTTCCTTTATGCAGTAATACACATCTTTACACTGAAAAGCGACAAGATATTTAGCATACTGCCGAAATTGACGGCAACCTGTAATTCGAATGAAATTTTAATCGACAGATCTTTTTTTTAATTAATTTAAATTCTCACGCATTTCTATCGCATAAAATAATATTGAAATTTTTATGGAGCTTAGATTCAATCATTAAATGATGTATATTTCACTCATCAAAATTCTTATTTCATTTCGAAATAAACTTTTAGTGATAAATGTTACCTGAAGTAGAACGTTAATTTTTCTTTACTTAATTCTATCAGGCACATACCTTCTTGGTGTAATATTTATGTAACTCGGTATCGCTGCCGCTCCTCCTCCACAGGCACAGAACCTTATTCTTCGGGCTATACGTCATATTGACTACGCGCTCGTACCACCAACGTTCGACTATCACGCCGTTCACCGACCTCAGGACGAGACCGTCGTGGCGAACTTCGAGAAATCGTAGATCACCCTCAGCGTCGACCCCCGAATGCACAGTGAACGACTGCCGGTGCATTTGCCGTGACGTCAGCGGCTTCAGATCGATGTCGTTTCCGTGCTGAGAAAGAGGAGAGAGCGCGCGTTAAACGATATATGCGATCTCGACGCACAGCGAATCTCACTTACGAGATTGTTTATCTGGTCGAGAAGTAGATTCAATTCTTGGCTGTAGATGAGGCCGATGTGACTCTTGCCGAGCAACCTGCGCACCTTCCGCTTCAATTCGTTCTTGTCGACGTTCAACATTACCAGGATGGCGGTGAGATTGTGCAGCAAAGTGCACAGCAGTCTGTCCTCCTCGTGCTCCAACCGCCGCCTTTCGCTGTCGCTTAAACTTTTGTATCTGCGTCGCGCGTATATGCGTCTCAGTACGATGATTTTGTATTTATGCAATTACGTTATTCAATAATATTTTTTTTAACAATATAGCAAATTGTATGCAATTTGACGCAGCTTTCCAATTACCTCTCCACCATTTCGCCAGGTCCCTGATCCATGCCCATCATATCGCGTTCCTGCGAAACAGCGTCCAAGAAAGCGTCCTCCCAGAATTGCATTTCGTCCCACAGTCCCGATCTCTCCTTCCCCAGTAAACCTAAATTCAAAATTCGCGATAACAAAAGGTCTCGAGATACGTGAACGTGTGAATTCGCGTCGCTTTTATCCGGTTGAAAAGGACGCATACCTTCGAAGAGATATGTTCTCGCAGCGTCCGGACTCGGTAGCGTCGTGGTGGGTATCAAACTTCCGCCGTGATAACGGAATCCCGTACTCAAGGACGACTTGCTGGACCAAACGCTGCCGGAGCGCTGCTTGCCTTGCCGTGGAAACTGGAACCACAGAACCGCGTCAGAATGAAGTTAATGGCGTTTACCAGCGATTTGAAAAGACTTTTGAATAAAATTCCATAAAAAAGTTTTAAGAAAGCAATATCTTCTATCGGTGTCCGTCGAGATTTATAGTGATTAAGGCATTCCAACTGGAAATTCATTCGTAACTAATTGCGATACAATGCCATCTCTCTAAGGTCAAAGGGTAACTTCGCGTTGCACGCAAAAAGAAGACCCCGTTGTGCCTGGTCATACGAAACACAGTCATACGCGCCGATGTATCTTTTAATGTGATCATAACATTGCAATGGAACATGTCACTGTTACCCTTCGATTACGATTCTCTACGCAATCTATCAGCGTCCATTCGTGTTCCTGTCTGATGAATGCCGAGACGTCTGTGCGATTCGAGCGTTAGGAACTACGGGAAGCTTCCGAAGGACGAAGGATTCTCTACGTTCCTAAAGTGCACGCACTCGGATGGTCACGCAATTCATTTAACACGCTACCACACTTCGATTAACATGTACTTCAACATGGGTTTCTGCATGGATGGTTTCTGAATGATTTCGATTGTGGACATATCGAGTTAATCTGTCGTCGGTTAACTCCACGGGAATGGACGATGCTACTACGTGCGTTGCGCTCTACAAGAGATATATAACAACTATGTAAATATAAAAACTAATTCAAGTAGGTAATTTACATTGCCTTGCTCGACCTCGCTATCAGATACGGTGCTTCGGAAGGAAGCTTGGTGCGCTTGCCGAAAAGCAGGATTAGTGATAATGCTACCTCCGTCTGTGGATAAAGCTTCGCTGCTCCCCGTTCCACCACCCCGCCCACTCTAAAAAACACATGACACGTATGCATTGCACGTTATAATCGAACGTGGACAATTCGTCAACATTTGTATGATTTTCAATAGTTTTCTTTTTAATTATTCAATTTTAAGAGGAGAACCGTCAAAGAAGCTTTCAAGCCCCATAGTGTACATTCTATTAAAAAAAAAGAACTACTTATCACTTTAAGGACGGAGGAAGAAATATGTTATACCAATGTTATTCAACAGGGACCCCGACAGTATTGTTGCGATACCTAAATGGGACAGCTAATCAACTTGAAATTTGAGTTCAGGAATGAAATATCGTTCGAGAAGCAAATTCTTTCTACCTCCGAATCGAATGAGGTAAGCTTGCTCAGAAATTTTCCTTTCTTCGTAAACATGTCCAGGAACATGTCCGTTGTTGACTGGGTCGTTTCCGCCGCTGACGGTGCTTGCGGCATTTCCAAATGCACTTGCGGCAGTTCTAGCGTACGCAAAAATATCAATTATGTTTATTTTTCTATGCTTCGTCTTCTAAATCGACAAACGTCTATTTTAATTAGTCATTTAATTGATAAAACTGAACTTTTTATTTCTCAATGATTTTAATTCTACAAAAAATTAATATCTCTTTTTAAACCATTAACAAACATCGCCGTATCGGCGTATCGAATAACTGTTAGAAAAGAGTATATATTGAAAAATTGAAGATTAATCAAAAATATCTCGATAACAGAATACTCCAGGACATACCTGATTTCTGCGCGCTTTCTGTAAATTCAGACTGATTCGGAGATTGTGGGGACTTCAAGTTTTCTCTACTACCGAACGGGCTAGACGCCTGCGACATCAAAGAGCTGTCGAAACCACCCTCCGCCGACAGATCTTTGCTCCAATAATGCGTGTGAGCGATTTCCATCAGTTGGAAGACAGAAGCCATCCCGCCTAGTCCGAAATTATTATACGTGTGTGCGAGACCATGCGTTACTGCTTGAAGGCACTTTAACATTCCCTTATACACGGGTTTTGATATGGCCTGTACAAAATTAAAGCAGACAAAAAGAGTAAAACCGCTTTTAATTAAACAGTATTTTAAAAAGATATATGAATAGGCGATAATTCATCGACTAAAATATATGAAAAATTTACCACATCGTCAATGTGATCATCAGGACTAATCTTCCTATTGAGACCTTTATTCAATTTTCTCACGACCAAATCACGATAATTCTCATCTTCCATTAATTTTTTCAATCTATTCAATTTCAGCCAACCAACACCTTCACCGGCCAACACTTGCGTTATCACCTGACGAAATTAAAAGACACGTGTAAGATCGAGTAAAAACTGTTTTGTAATCAACAATTGATGAATACTTACGTCGTTCAAAAAGGCTTGATTGTCGCTATTTGTACTAGAACGTTCCGCGTTTTGCATTCTCTGCGCATCTTCCTGATTAATTTTGTGCGAGGAATGTTTTATCAACGAGGAACGCTCTACTAATCCTGTTTTGCCTGCAACTGTTAATAAGCATATATCACTTTGAACTTTTTCTCTGAAATCTTAATTAGAATTAATTAAAAACGCTGCGATATCGCTTATACCTTTGGGAAATGGTGGAAGAATCGGATTGGTCTTTTCTTTCGACTTCTGATTCTGCGGGAAGAAGCTACTGCCTTTAGAATTATTTTTACCACCTGGAAGATAAATGCACAATTTTATTATTCTTTAAAACACATCACTATTTTCTTCCTCGACATATTAAACATTGTTGATTTTTACTTTCGTAAAATCCACGGAAAATCTGATAGAAAATTATAATCGACAAAATAACGAATTTTAGTCCATTTATTCTATAAAAAAATATACATAATATATTTCTAGAATATCAGCTGAAAATAAATTTACTTCATCAAAATATATAAAAGTAATTATTTGTTTATTATTAATAAAACTAATATAAAAAAAGCTTATGCCAAAAATGTTAGAAATATTTAAAAAATATGTAAGATAAAATGAATTTTATTTCGTTTAACGTAATTATTATTTAAAATAATAACCAACTTTAATTTAATTAGATTTAATCACAGATATAAAAAGACATAACATGAATTTTATTCGAGACGTACCGAATAAATCGCTGAACATACTGCTGGTTTGCGCAGCGAAGCCATTCAAATCGCTGCTAATATTGCTGAAGAAATCCCGGCCAACACCACTTCGTGTGTCCGATGCGACTAACTGATTGCTAATCGAATCCTTTCGCTGCTGCATCATATTAGAAGAGGAGGGAGAGTGTACCGGCGATTGTGATTCTAGACTCTAAGTGCACAAAAAAATTACATGATATTATTTGATAGAATTTGTACTGCACATTTTTCTGATCATTTTGTTACAGTCCCAATTTTTATACGATGATCTTTAATAACAAATGTGATCATAGAAAAACTATGTTTTCTACATAACGAAAAATACCTTGATGAAGCCTTTTTTCGCAGCAGCTTCTTTGGCACTTTTTGTCAGATCTCCAAATGTGCTTTTGCCGACGTACGTCAAATCGTCCAGCGTATTCTTGCTTACACCCGCCGCCGTTTTGCTCGCCTCCAACGCGTTCTTTGATACCTCTTGCACCGACTTGGTGGCCTCACCTACCGCTTTCTTAGTTTGTTGCGTAAACTAATTGAATCGGAACACAAGAAAGATATAGATTCAATGTATACATTACTTTATACTTCATACATATTTTACGAAAACATACTTGTTCCAGCGGCGCGAACAGACTATCCTCGCCTGCCTCCGTAATTCTTTCCTTCGCCTGATGCTTGAGCTATTAATTAAATAAATCAATAATCACTATTATAGAAAAAAATATGATATAAAATAACACGAGTTATTCGTCTGATTGAAAATTCTAAAATTGATCGTAGAAAAATATTATTTAAAACTATAAATCGCATTCGATCACACGCGTTCCTCGTAATACCTTGTCCATGTGCGCGAGCAGCCCGTCCTGACTGCTCTGTCTGGTCGTTTCGCGCACCAAATCCTTCGCCTGGCTGGCGATCTGCTCGAACAGAGAACCCTGAGAGCCTTGTCGAAGAACGCCGTTCCCGGTGGCGGCGCCGGTGGAACCGCCGCTGTTCTGTCGTTGCACCGTGCCGTCGTTCTGCTTTTGCGCGACCGTCGCTCCCGCGGATGCTTGACGCTGAAGCTGCGTCGCTTCGTGATGATGATCAGCAGCGGTGACCGCGCTTATCTGCCGCGGCAGAAGAGGCCCGCCGGTGGTGCTGAAGCTGGAGGCCCTCGCTAGAACGTTGCCTACGCTCGGCTGACGTTGCAGACCTGGTCCGGTGGGTGGCACCTAGAAAGATATATACAGTATTCATAATAGTCCTTCATCTTTCTTAACAGACATCCTTCTTGGGGCACGAGAATCAACTGCGAATCTTCTCTAATCCCGCGTGGCTAAAAATTTGGCAATTGAAAACGAGAGAGAGAGTTTGTGCGAACTTGGACAATAAATTAGTGATGTAAATTGCGGATTCATTTTTGAGACACGCGGAATTATAGTAAGAGACTTTTGCAACGGAAAGGAGTGCTTTTCCTCTGAGCTCTTACACAGTAATCGATACGTCACATTAACGAAATACATACTTATACCGTGTTCCTAAAGTTTAAGATATGCGGCAACATTGGTCATGCTTCAACATGTCGGACGCAGAAGTTAGATCTAAGTAAAAAAATAGGGTTGACGACACAACTTATATAAGTCTATAAAGAGAGCCATTGTACTTTCTTGTTCACTGTAATTTAAAAGGCGCAAATGGTGCATCACACATACGCACATATTCGTAAATACCGATTGTGTGTTTCTAAATATATCATTTAACTCATCGAGCTTGCTTCAAATCTGCGAACACAACTGTGTATCGAGAGAGATGGAGAAGATGTTGTAAATGTATCAATGTATCAATGTATGATGATGATATGTATTAGTTTATTTCGTGTGTGTGTGTAAATCGCACACAATATTACACGAGCATCAATATGCAATAGCTTGAGAAAGTACAGTGAAAAGAATGTGTGCATTGCAGTCTGATGTGTTCGTTTCATGCTGAGAAGAAGAAGTGGTGCGATTTTAGAAACTAAGAGTGCGATACGCAAACTTGAGATCAGACAACTTAAATTCACAGCTACATTTAGTGCCAAACATGATACGTAAATTAGGAGCTATTGTGATTATGAATGAGCGTGCAGGGAATTAAAACGACGGACGTTCCTTCCTAGCGGAACGTTCGACGATATTAAACTAAAGATAAAAATGGATCACACAAACGAAACACGTTCGAAACAAAACGCAAATCAAGAGTGAGAAGCTAACATTCTCCCCGAACGGCGCTCTCTTAAGGAGAGGCCAGAGAAGACCAAAGAGATAGTACAAGAGAGAAGAAATGAACGAAGATTAAACATTCCACACGTTCCGGTTATCCCATTCGGTTCATCTATCATGCATCAGCAGCCTGAACGATGCCGAAGTGACACTCGTAGATGCATTCGAATGACAGAGTAGTTAGAGGTAATATGGAGATGACTCACAGGAGTGACATATCTACTGACGCGCGAGATCCTGTGAGGGGTGGTAGGACGTTCAGTGTCGTTGAGCGAAGATTGAGTGCCTAAAGCGCCCATGCTTATCCCTGTGAACTGTCCTACCGAACTTTGTGCGCTCAGGATTGTGCGCGGTGTTATTGTCGACGCGGAGTCTGACTCAAAGCTACCACCCTCCTCTTTATCCTATGATCAAGCAATCCGTTAGCGTACACCCGCTGATATGCTATCTCGAGCTTTCACGCATCTTAACGCTACGAAAGTACACATTTTATCATTAATTTGCGCGTGAATCGCCTACTTGTCTGCCGATTTCGAAATGCAAAAAATTTCGTTACTTGTTGCCGATTTTTTTAACTAACATCTTTAAGACTGAAGGGGCTTTTTTTTTTTTTTACTGTAAAATTAATGTGTTACATGTTGCTTGTAATAGCTGAAAAATTTTGATTATTATCAAACTTTAGATTTTGATGTCGTGTGAATTTGTAGAATCGTAATTACATATATGAATTATCCATAAAGTATCATTTAGCATATGAAAAGTAGTGCGCACAGAGAGAAAGAAAGAGAGGCAGGAGGAGAAATCGCAGTAAGAAACTCGTACACTTACGTTAGCGGACTGCGAACCCTCTTGAACTCTTGGGTTCAATTCGAGCTCGGAGTCCCTGTTAAAGCTTGGGCTACTGAGATCGCTGTGACTGGAAGAAGTACTTGGTGGGCTCTCGGGTCGTGCTGGTAAATCCTCTTCCACTCCCGGATATTGCAAGGAGCTCGGCGGATTGTAGACGTTCTTCGGATCCACTGAGAGCGTTTGTTGGGGCTGGCTCACTTGAGGATTGTAACCTGTCGAAAATAATTCAATATGTTAAAATATTCAAGACGTCCTGAAAAAAACATCTTGAAAGGCGTCTTAAAGACGTCTTAAACAATTGACAAACGTCAATACTAATGCGTGTGATATCTATATTTAAAAAGTATTGCATTACATGCAAAAATTATTGAATCTTTTTAGTATTATCTTTAAGCTTATTAAAAATGGTTTCGAATGCTAAAATGTGCATTTCATTCATTTTTATATGCCTTAGAATCTTATGTCATATCAAATTTAAAAGTCCACTCAATAAGAATTATATATTAATAACATACAATCAAACTTTTCCCAATGCAGCACAAACTTTTTTAATTTAAAGTAGCAATCGTAATTATTCAAAAGCTGACAGAAAATTGTTATTCCATTAATTTCGTAATTTCTATTCCATTAATTTGATATTTGCTTGATCGCATCCTCTCGCTGACACGCAATTCCTTCTCATTACAGTCTTAAAAAAAAAAAAACTCACCCGGTGACAAATCGGACGACGCCATTTCGGAGACGAAGTCGCTCAGAGAGGAATATGAAGAGCTGGTGCTCTCGGCACCCTCGGAATCCGATCCACTCTCATCCGTGGGCTGACTCTCGTGCTCCTTCATCGCCTTCAGGGCGTTCGCCAACGAACTACCGGAGTCCCAGACGGGAAAGTAGATCGGCTCGAGGTTGGTCGCGTACCAGCGCGACTTGTCGCCGATCTGTGCAGGATCGAAGACTCCCGTCTGCACCCGGAGAAAGGCCACGTTGCTCGGCGTGAGCGACCACTCGGCCAGGAACTCGACCGCCTGCGTGCGCGCGAATCTGTTGAGGAAGCTGCTCTTCCGTGGCCGCGAACGGAGGAACGAATTGATCTGGAAAGCCACCACCGGCCGGGGATACAGCCGCAGGGTGCGCGTGTGCTCGGTGAAGTTGGCCAGCAGATTCTGCGAGTTGAAGAAGCGCACCATGGCGACCCGCGTGGCTATGTCTACCGAGTCCACGTCATTTCCGTAGATGAAGGGATTGAAAGGCGCCGGGCTCTGTCCGGGCGCTCTTGGCGGACCGGTCAGCCCGGCTCCTCCAACCGTTTGTGGCATCGACGGCCGACGAGGTGGACTCGCTGACGAGCTCACGCTTGGCGAATTAAGCGGGGAGTGCTGAATGTGCGCGCACTGGTCGATGCTCGGCCTGTGCTTCGTTGAAGCTACGCTGTAAAGTAATAATTCAACGTTAATTTAATAGCTGCACGAAAATTCAAAAACAACAATGGCAATACTTTATAATTGAAAGACAAAAATTTGACGAAAATTTAATGACTCAGCAATAAAGTTTATTAATTAGATTATTGTAAGTTTTTAATTGTCATTGTAATAGATTTTAGATGGATGAGAAAATTATATACCTTAAGGTGGAATGATGCGACGCCATGCTTTCTCTCCTACTCGGTGTTTGAAAAGAGAGACGTTGCGAGATTTCTTGCGACGGCAATGGCGGTCCCGTCATGCTAGCCATCGCCTGGAAATTTGTTACATAATGAACAAATCGAATTCGATTGAGTAGAAACGATTCATTGCAATGTTCTACTAAATTTGTTTTTATTGGATCACCAATCTACAAACAAAAAGTTGTGATAGCGTCAAGAAATAATTTCTACTTAATATTGGCTGAATTTTCTATTTAAAAAAAAAAAAACTACATCTTTCTTCGATCGCTATTTCTACGTTCTATTCGCTACTCGTAATTTCTATTCTAGTAATTTAGCAAATGCGTGTGACTACACTCGATTTTAGCTAATGCGTGTGACTACACTCGATTCTGCTCGTGATAAATCATGCATGCCGCTAAACTACAAAATAAAGACTACGCCATTAAGCGGAATGAGAATTGGTGAAATAATATTTACACTAGAGCCAACTTGATCCATCAGTTGCATTGCCTGTCAGGATAAGGAGTCATTAAATACGTTTCATCGTATACGTAGTTGACGAAAGTTTGACGAGAATTCAGTTGTATCGTTAATCAGCGCTGACAGTGTTACATTACCTGCCTCAGGTGATTCTTCAGGATGGTGCCCTCCGGTTCCGGTAGCGGCGGCAAACCGTCATCGTTCAGAGCGCTCGGCGCAGTTATTTTATTGCTATCCAAGTCCACCAGCCAGATATCGTCGGGCATTCTGAAGTTCTTCTTGTACATAAGGAAGGACGCGGGGATCCCGATCACGAAGGGCGTCGGCGCGAGCAGCAGTTGCTCCGCGCAACTCATGCAGGTGGGCAGCAAGGGTATCGCGGGGAACATGTACTCCAATGGATAGATCATCGTGACAAACGCCATGACCGACATAGACAAGGCGTTGTAATCACGGGATTGAAGTACAATCTGAAAAAAAAAGCATCAGTCGTTTCTTTAAATGCGGCAGAAAATTTTCTACAGAATTTCTGCTTGCTAATTGTTGGTCACTAAACGTGATTCATATTTTGTATTTTTTTTTTACCTTATTCTCCAAGAGAATCAGCGTGAGAACCTTCAGACATATGTCGACGCCGAGGAGCTCCAACGGTAAATGCAATGGAAAGTCGACCAGGGAGAATCTAGTGTGATCCGGTAGGGCGAAGCATAGCGGTGGTTGCATACTGGGCGATATTATCTCGACTTCGACGCGCGTCTTTGTCGGGACGGGCACGGGGCTGCTGAGCAAACGAAGTATCCATGTCTCGATCTCGCGAACGTCGTGAAGCACGATGGACGGCGTGTCCCCTAGAGCCTGACCCGTTAATACGCTCCACACCGTGTCTCTGTAATGAAAAGTGATCCGTTCAGCTGGCGAAACGTAAGCACAAGTCGAAGTGAGCACGAGTGAGCGCACCTGTTGGTCTGCCGAGAGGCTCCCACCTTCTGCGGCGAGAAACTCTCGTTGCACGCGTCGATGATTTTCTTCAGGACGAAAAGACATTCCCGGAACATTGAGAAGAACGGATGGTGCGAAATGATGCATAGGGAAGTCAAGGAATGATTGCGAACCCTCTGTAACGCAGACGTTAAGCGATTAATGGATAGCGAGAGAAAGTTTTTATAAAAAAAAAAAAGAGTTAATAATTTAAAATTTATTCTTTTAATTTTTTCTGAATAAATCAACTATAAAAGCGTTAATGTATTATTCAATAATGCCTGTGGTATCGACCTGGCGTCTTCGAGAAGCGCGTGGCGATGGGGAATGACTGCCGCCGCTCTCGCTGTCTCCGCTCGCTGCGATGAATTCCAATCTCGGGGTGACCGAGCTGACCTGCGGGGTGTCCGAATCCCGCCTGCTGCTGGAGCAATCTTTCTCAGAATCACTAGGACCTACTGCACTGCTCCTATAGTCGCTATAACGAACGGCTAGAGATACAGTCTTATAAACGGAGCACTCTATCGAGTGCGCTGTACACGCGCAAGTTACTTTGTTTGAAATGTACAATGTAATTTTTGTTTAATTTAAAAAGGATGTTGGCTTTTAGAAGACTATAGAATTTAACTTTATAATTTAAAAATTGTTTGTTTTATTATTATATTGTGTCAGAAGTATACTAATACTTTAATTTTAATGAAGTGTAACAGAATAAGGATCGGTGAGGGGCAAATAATTATAAGCCATTTCACCTAGAAAAAGCGGAATCCGTGCTTCTCTCCATACTCTTCCTCCAGCTTTCCCTTCGAAACGTGGTGTTGTATTTTTCCCTCTTGAGCGCAATTCCCCCGCCAGCCACAAGCCCCGCCCTTTCCATAGATCGGTAAAAATTCACGCAAATCCCATAACGCGTTCTTCCTGCAATCAAATACCTCTTACAGTGGATGCAACTTGACAATTTTCTGCATTTGGGAAGAAATGCAAACCTGAATCTTTATCGGTGAGTGTAAAAGTGAAGGATGTTGCCTCTCGTAAGGCCGTGCGCTTTGGTCCCACGCTACTGCAACCTTCTGGTTGGCAGAAGTACACCATATCCAAAGGCAGAGGAAAATCCTTGTGATCCTCTACCGGATATCTGCGTAGCAACTCTGGGACCTGTAGATAGCATTTATGCCAAGTAGTTTATTACAAACTATCATCTTTTCCCCAGATTATTGCATTTTTTTAATATTCTAATTTAGGAAGATATAAATTAATTAAAAATGTCGGCGTAGAAAGTTTTATAAATACAGAAATTTGCACGTGTAAAAGTTGGTTATTCAAATATAAAATTTTGCAAATGAGCTTTGGCACTTTCGAACTTTATACCTGTACGGGCTGACGAGAGACAGCGGGCATCCTGGCTCCAACGATGGCGAGGTAGTCCACCAATCGGGGGCACAGGAATTTCTTCTGTATATCCATAATTGTGATTTATGTATATACAGCTGTGTCACCGTTGTATGCAGTATATACAGGACAGCCAAGCCTCTGAACTCTCCTCAAGATCGTTTCCAGCTTGAATCATGATTGTACCATTATCTCGCTTATTAATTCCACCTGCAAACAGAATTGCGAATTGGTTCAAACTAGCTGACGCTTCTACCTTTCAGCTGCTGAATAAACACAATTAATTAGCTTCCGCTTAAACTGTTCTCTGTGGGTGCGAGTTGAACTTATACAAGATATCCCACTTCTGGCTCATTATTTTTAATGGCAGACCTCTCGGCTAATACTCGGAGATGATATTTTCTCGGAAGAAAAATGCTTCGAGGGGGGGATCGTTATTTGCGACGTTATATATCTGCGCAGTTATGGCCCTTATTAAAATTTTTAAAAAATAAAGGTCATTAAATAAAGAATATAATTGTGGCATTTATTTTCCCTGTTAAAAAGCTAAATTATAGTATGCAAAAATATTAATTTTAATAAAAATTTTGAAGTATCTTATTTTATGTAATAGAATCCTGATCCAAAAAATTGAGATTACTGTATTAATATCTCAAAAATCATCTTCGAACTTTTCTAACGAGGCGAGAAGCAGAAATAAAGGGGAAAGCGAAAGACGATAATATCAATGAACAGCGGCCACTTCGAATAAGGATTCGAGAGATCGATAAATCCGAAAACCCAAAAAAATATGTATGTCACCATGTCGAGAACTGACGTGCATGCGCGGGTGACGCGGGGAGGTGGAAAAGCGCGTATGCGCGCGTGTTTAATTCGCGCGATATCGAACCTTCTCTCGTATTTCGCGCCGTGGCGCAACGACGAAGTAACGAGACGAACGGAACGGCGTGTGCACGAAGCCACGTATTTCCGTATGATTACATTGCTGTCGAGCGATTACGGCAGGAACGTACGTGGACTAATTTAGGGTTTGACTTATCGATCGTCGTAAAAAGGAGGACGTTAAATATGTACACGATGGAAATTCCCAAAAAAGAGGTTATGATCTTTCGGACGATTCGGACTGTATTCGTTACAGGTAATTGTCTGTAAAATTTACCGCAGATATCTTAATTCTTCAAATATTGTTCGGAAGTTTCTCAAATCTTTCTTGCACTGTTAGTGCGTGATTGGAACACGAAAGACGATCGATGCGACGACGACAGTCGTCTAATCCGTCTCTTTAAGAACTCGAGCAATTCAATCTCGCGTGAAGTTGAGGGAAACCTAAATTTAATTTAAAATCCATTTCTCACATTCCGAAAAAATTGGATTAAGTACATCGCTGTTGCAGTAAATCTTTCAATTTTCGAACGAAATGACGAAAAACGTGGGGAAGTAAATCTTAAAATTTAGAAGCCCAGACAAGACGCACGTTTAAAAAAATTTAATCTGTCTGAAAGCATTTTATTTTTTGCAGATATCTTGTTAATGTATTTCAGACGTTTTTCAGATACGCATATTGTCTGGGAAAATAATATGTTAAATTTATAAAAATGTAAATTTGATACTTGCAATATTGAACTCTTCCATTTTTTAATAATATATATTGCTCATGTGAAATTTACTATGTTTAAAATCAATATTTAAAGTTTTATATTTGTAAATAAATTATTCTTTCTCTAAAACAGTATTCCAAATTGACATATTAATTGTGATAACACTATTCTGTTTTCTAGTTTACCTTCCAATTTCCAAAAATCTGGATTTTTACATTGATCATCATTGACGAAAGATGCCTTAATCATAAAAGCAAAATTTATCACAAGAAGAATGCGGTGAAGCTCCATGTGCCAAAAATGTGTTATTGGGTCGAAGGCTATGATAATTCACTATTTTGCAGAATTATTCATTTTCTAATCACGATTTTATTTTAATTGACTGACGTTCCTGAAATATTAATGGAATCGCCGAGACGCGAAGATACCAATAATGACATTTGAAATTATTCACTCGCAGGAAAGTAGCCTTCAACTGCGATAAATGTGATATGTAATCACCTGCGAACAACCTGGTGAGGCACTCACGATTAATATCGACTACAAACTACTACTTCCGAAATAACATTGATCGCAACATCGATCCGAGTAATATCGATTATATAACTTTGCAGCCACAAATCGTGCGCGAGATTCAATTTGCAATTAATTAGAGGAAATTCGTGTTAATTTTGCGAAAAAAACAGCGAAAACTGTTTCAACCTTTAACCCGAATCATGCAGTACAGCGAAGAGTAATTTAATTTTTTACTTTGACATATAGGAAACATCAATAGTCATGAATTTTGGAGCTGTCACTCGCGCGGAAAAACTTGACTGTAAAAAAGATTTGCAAAAGTGCATGTTGAAATTCGAGGAGGAACGATGTGAACTAATGGTTGCTTCATCGCATCGATCCTGAACCATAAACGAGCCCTACTGGGAGGTAGTTTCACCTTTTAGAACATCGCACATCGCTTTGGGATCGCGACTCAAGTAAGAAATCCAATTAATTAATTCAGAAAAATTCGCATCAAATCTTTAAGAAAATCTACAGTCACTTCTTTAAATTCCGACGCAAAAACCTAAGGTCGCTATGAGCCTGTTAGGATAAATCCTGTCCTTTATCGCGATGCCACAAATGCGAAAGGATGTCGACATTGACGTCAACGTTGCGGCGAACGCTTCCTCTGATTTTTTTTCTAACTCCGCGGACACTTACGTTTTGCAATGCGCGTTAACGCGAGTGACTGCCGCGCGTTCTCGTCCGACTGCCATACGAATGACGGCCAGGCCGTATTCCGTATCAGCCAAGTGGCGATATCACACTGGCGATCCGCCGACGCGCCCCGGAGCTTCGCGGTCGTCGCGACGCCGTCGCGCCGCTGATCGTTCGCCGGAACCAGGCAGGCGCACGTCTGGACGGACGCGCCTCCAGTACCGGCGCTAGAATCCCGATTCCGCTTCCGAAAGTGAATTTCCGCTCCCGTTATTGGGACACCCTGTCGTCGGCTCGATATCCTTCCGTTTTCTCGCTCGTTGAAGCGCGGTTGAATAATGAGTGGAAAACAACCGAACGCTGTAGTTCCAAAGAGTTTTCAACATTGCGCTTCTTTGTAATAAAATATGATTTTAGACCGTATTAGATGATATTGATTTTTTACGCAGGATATAAAATATACAACGTTTGCTTTAAAGAGTGCGTAAAACGTAAACTATATTGTAAATATTATTCTATATATTTATAGATTTGATTAGATCGATCATATAATCTTTATATCGTATCTTTAAATATCTATACCTTTAATACCTTTAAAATACCTTTAAAAAAATCTACAGTTACTTCTTTAGATTCTGATACAAAACTGACGCAAAATCTAAGGTTTAGTTTAGATTGAATATATAAAAATCTATACTAATTTATATTGAAGACCAAAGAGCCTCGAATATACAATTTATTATTTTAATCCTAATACTGGCATGATGCAATCTTTAACGTTACATGATTTTTATATTCGTAGTAAGTATAATTATCCGAGAAAATTAAAAATTAGTTAATAACATAAGTATATTGTTTTAAGAACAATAGTGCTTCTACTGTTTTTTTTTATTATTATTTTTATTACAGAAGCACTTTATTTTAATTATGAGCGAAAAATCGAACGAAATTAACAAATTTATCAGTCAACCAGATAAGTCAACAAATTTATCAAGGTCAACGTAGTCATTTTTCATTTCCTTATTATTAGTCAATATTTAATATCGTCTTCCTTCTTCATATTTGAAAAAAAGGATCTTCTTTGATTAACAAAACTTTTAGACTATCAAGTGACTTTCTCTGATTCTCAAAATTAAAATTATTCCGAATTATTATTCAAATCGTCCCAAATTTACAATTTATATTTATTTTCTTATTTTTAAATCGTCTTAAATTTATATTAAACTCAATCTACTCAATTAAACAGGATTTACACGAAGACACGATGATTTCATAACTCGAAAACGCGTAACATCCATCTCTTTGAAATATCGCTTTACAGCTTTTAAGCTCTTTAATTATAAAAGCTTCGGAGTGAGCTCTTTAATTCGGCCCTGTGCACCCAGAAGCACATCGCGTGCACCCGTTGGCGTACTCGCGCGGCGTCACCAGCCGGATCAATAATGTCCGTCAGGTTCAGCTGAATGTCTGGGGGAGGATACATGGGGAGGGAGGTAGGCGTGCATATGAGGGTAGGAATGGGGCCAGAACCTTGCGGGCGTCGACTAGGTCGTCCAGCCGACGGTGACACGATGGAGGACAAGGGTGCTATCTTCGACGTCCTTCGACTGCGTCCAAAATCCCCACGTGGTTGCGGGTTGCCTCGTGGGTGAGAGCTGGCCTCATTTCGAAGGCTGTAATTATGTCAACGTTGCGAATAAATTATAGTCCGCGACAATGAGCAGACATAAATTTGCCGATGTCATTTTAATCACTAAAAAGAGGAAAGATATATTATTATACGGAACATATTTAAAATGTAGAATAATTATAATAGTAAAAAGATACTCACTGCTTGCAATTATAATAGTAAAAAGATACTCACTGCTTGCAAAAATATATACTTAGAGAATGTAAAACGTGTCTTTTTATATGATACATTGTTTTCAAGAAAAATAATACTAAAAATTAATAAATTAATGATCTTTCAGCCTTTTTATATATATAGAAAATTGTTACAGTCTAACAAAACTATTCTCTCGCTTTTAAAATTTAACTGGCAAATCTTATTCATCAAGATATTTGATATTAAATTGATATGCTAAAATAAATCACTTTTTGTGCGTGTGACATTTTTCCATAAGCATTTTAATAATTAAAAATGAATAAAAGCTTTCTAACGCGATTGTGAATTATAATTGTGGGTTTTTTTTCGCAATGTTAAGGAATAAAACGCACCATCATGTTTGTATAAATTTTATATATATATTAAACAGGATATTAATTATAATTAAGAAATTATGATCGTTGAGAAATAGAAATATCTTAGTATTTATATTTACAGTGTGATACTAAATCACCTTATGCTGTGCGAACACCACAGATTAAAATGCAAAACATTCCGAGATAAAAGACGATTTCAAACGTTCGTAAGAAAATCTTTAACGTCCGTTGATTGGATTTCGTATTCGTACACGGACAAAGAAATGTATTTATCGTACATTAATGTGCAACACGTAATTAACACATGTGGATTCACGAAAGGATCAAAAATTTTTAAACTATAACATTAACACTTATCGGGCTGTAGTGTTCGTTCATTTTGCTATACATATATTTAACAATCGCCTGCAAGCTTTCGAAAGCTACTTATGCCGATTATTTCGTTATTTTATATATAAAATATAGATTCGATTCTAAGCTCAGTCTACGTCGCTCACATACACTAAAAGAAAGTTAATTCTGCATTACAAATAAATAAATCAAAGTATACTTTTAATATTTCAAAATACTGCTTCCGTCTAGTCTCACATTTTGAATGCATTTCACTAGATTTCCTTGGAGCCTTTTTGATGCGATATTGGCGCGATGAGTCGTTGAATTGAACTATCTTATATTAGCTATAAATATCTTTAAGTTTAGTATCAAACATGTATAGGAGATTACGCGAAGAGTTGCGTCTACGCGCGCATGTTCAACATTGTAAAGTGTACTTTTTTTTTTTTGCTTTCGTACAATTGTTTAAGTAGTATCGTTTAAGTAGCACCAATATAGCAAGCGCAAACGTAAGAAAACAACTGTCCAAACACATCGGTATGACCGTCGATCGTATTGCTAATAATATTCTTGCGCACTTTGTACTGTTTCCATTGTATGCATTATATGCTTTCCATATATCGTATGTGTAGCGTAGAAACGATGTACAAAATATTGCGATATAAAAAGGATGCGAAAGATATCCCTTCTTTTTATGCGTGAGCACGTACGCAAAGGTACATCATGCATTCATAGGATAAGATTGATAAATCATTCCTCGTGCAAGTCATTCCACGCTACGTACTCTTTGCGGATGTCGCTTCGTATCAGCGTCGGACGGTAATCTCACGCGAAACAAACGCGGCTTCGCAATCCCGACGCTGTGCAATCAGCTTACGTTATTGTTTTACGTCGGTGGATGTGTGTATGTGTGTGTATGTGTGTGTGTGGCTAAATTAACAATTAACACTTTCGCTAATATCAGAAGTCGACGGTCGTGTCGGATCCGCGATGATCGTCCTCGTCTAACAGCGGCTCTTCCTCCACCATCATGTGAACTGTGAACAAAACTCGTCATGCATACCAACGAATACAAATATCAACACATATATCCTAAATGCTAACACCTTCGACAGCGTTCTCTTTTAGCCAGATGTCTAAATCTGTACCGTGACATTTACGTACGACAAAATTGAGGATAATGGAAGCGAAATGGAATCGTGTTCACCTTTCACATTTTGTATAATAAAGCTGAATACACTTTCATTCATCTGCAAAGTCTAGATAAATTGCATTTTTAATTCAATGCAAATTGTTTGCTTTTTCCATGTATATTAATTAACTCGTTTTCCATGAGAATCAATTATGAAAACGACAAAGAAATTTAAATAAAATGTAATTGGAGAACGCGAACCTTTCGCTTGTATATTTCTCGACTCTTCTACATTCCCACTTCTAATTTTTTTCACATTTTAAAAGAAGAGATATAAGCATAGAAGATTCAAATTTTCCATTTAAATGGAATCGACTTTTGAGAAGTAACGTCGTATACATTGCTGAATAAATTTCCTTTTTAAATTTTCCAACTCTAAAAGTAAAATTTGGACTAATTACTTAACTCGTTTATCTATGCTTTATCTACTCTGTTAATCAGAGGGTCACATTCTCTGAAAAGCACACAAATTGAAAATGTATACTAGTCTACTACTCATGTATACACACACATACGAGAATTTTTTATATATTCTCACAATAACTTATAAACAAAATCCAAGCAGCAGGCAGAAAAACATGCAAAATAATTATATAATTATATATCGCAAAAATAAAAAAATTTAAGCGAGACTTTTGTGAATTTTTGCATAAGACAGATAATTGTTCGTAATACAAAAAATGATTTTCGTTAAAAAAGATAACCCCATCGCTCGCACACAATATAATCATAATTTGTTAATATTTCACAAGTTTTATGATCACTGCGTTTAAAACGATTCTTAAAGTGTTCAATTAGTGTTCAATTACCGATACAATTAGTATTGTCTTTTAAACATAGATTAGAATTGAAATTACGAAAACCTTCAACACATAGCACATTTTTACCGAGCAAGTCTATTCAACTTAACAAGTTTTACATAATGCTATTTTACAAACGGACCGATAAAGCTTATTTTGAATAAACACAAAAAAATCAAATAACACATGCAAATAAGAAGTCAGCAACATGCAAGACTTTATAAAAATCGGTAACATGCACATAGTACGCGCGAGCGTTATTAAGATGTATAACATATCTATATTAGTAATACAAATTTTTATATAAGAAGATAAGATAACATCGATCAATCGATCCCAACAGATTTTCACAATAGCAATCACATTACCTTTCCATTTTAAGCAAATTTTGCACAAACAGAGAAAGCAATAAGTACATAGCATGCGTATTAGTTCTCCGTGTAATTTTGTTAACGATACTTTTACGAACTTTTTATTAACTTTATCATTCGAAAGTGCGGAATATATAGCGCATGGCGAAAGAGCAAAATTTCTTGCTTATATATATTCCGCGTCGAATAAATTTACGTTTTACACAATTTTCTGCGATGCGATACACAAAGTAACATACAGTACAAAGTTGACATTAGATCTGCCAAATAACCTGAATAAAATATGTTCTCACAAAAGAAGCTTCTGGCAAGTCTGGTTGAATTAGAATAAAAAATAGCGTGCCGTAGTAAACTTATTTATCCAAAAAATATAATACAATTCAGAAACAAAACTCGAAATATGATACAGTTCAATAAAATTACATGTCATTCATTGCAATGTTTACAGTACTCTCTTCGAAGAAACGTGACTAGTTAAAATAATTTAATTATTATCTCATTCATTTTTTTAACAACATAACTCTGAAATGTGTTCAACACGTAATAAAAATAGAAAAAAAAAAATAGTTCTAGTACATTTTAAACAAGAATTACTGCAATTAATATAACTTGTCAATATGAAGACGTTGTTCTCTTTGTATCTTCCTCAAGAAACATTTTCATTTAGGAATAGTACAATAGAAAACTTATAAACATTGACACGTGGAATATCTATCATACATCAAGTTTCTGCAATTTATATCTAATGAATTTAATTATAAAATTTGAATTACTCATTATTTAGTAAGAAGAAATATTACTCTAATAAAATTACACATGTGTAATGTAATATACAAATAATAATTAAGCATGTATCTGCCATTTGCTTGTAAAATATATATATATATATATGTAGAAAGTATATTTAAAATATATGTATATACGCTTCTCTCTGTCGCAGAATATGTGACACTTACATAAAGAATGTCTTAATAAAGTGAATATCTTAATTGTACCTATTGTCGTACGATGTCAAAGTAAACAAACGTATCTAGTGCAAAGTTGCATCTCTAGCCTTTTTTAAGTCTTGACACACAACTTGATTAATCGTAACAGCGTTAAAATGTCTCTTTTTTTTCTTTTATCAAAGTCACAGACACACGCGTAAAAGCAGAAATAGAAAACGTTCATGATACATCCCATGTTATCAAAAACTATACATTTCAAAAAGAAACGGGTACTAGCAGTTCGTTATACTTGATGAACATCATATTTCAAATAAATTTGAAGGAATTTTTTGTGCTTTCTAAAGTTTGTTGACTGAACAAACCATATTCGATTAATTCAATTTATCGATATTTTTTCCATAAAAATAAATCATAAATCTCATCAAAAGAAGATACCACTTGTTGACCGAGCTATTGATAAAGCGATTTTAGATTTAGATTAATTTTTGAAAAACTCGCCTTACGAACGATGGAGAGAGATTTTTGATTTTGCGTTTGATGTAGAATCTCTATTATTACGATTACTCTACAGCAATGAACGAGATATATTGGAATCCGAAAAATTATCGGCATTTAGAAATTTAATGCAATTAATGCAAACTCGTAACATTTTCATAGAGACATGTAACATTGTGCCTCTTTTCCAGAACACTGGATTATAATTTATTTATCACTGGCTTATAAGTATGGAACGAGTGCCGTTACTACGACCGGACGGCACCCCCTTTTGCTTTTATGCAGTAAACTTGACTAAAAGTAACAACTGTAGTCGTAATAATTACTAATCAGTTTAACTAAGGCTTTAATCACAATTTCGTTATTCGTTATACTAATCTGAAACGACAGATCATATATTAAACGTTCTTCTCTCTAGCTGTATATACATGTAACTCGTCATGTGTCTATTCTCTGTGATATTAGGAAATCTCTTTATACACACATCAGACAAATCGTACAGAGCAGTCATTATATCACCGGTTGAAACTCTAGTGATGTTTCTTATGCAATCTGTTACGTTGTGACCTATTAGTACCATTTTTCTCGGCGGCGTTCGAGATCTGGATAGTGCTTGTGTGATGATCGCATGGTATCCTGAACAGCCGGATCTTCATGTGATCGCATATTTCAAGACACACTTGCGCGCTATATCGGAAGAGATCCAGCATTACCCAGATCTAAACACATATATAAATTTTTTTATTTGTTATTCCAAATTCCAGATCATTCGTGAAAGGGGATCAATTGTGCGACTTACGAAACACAGCCAAAGAACGTAATACTCTTTGATGAAAAAGTTGAAATATTGATTGAGGAACAGCATGGCTGGGCCAATTAACGAGCTATCCAAATATTGCATTTCATTCTTCGTCATGTGAGCAACCTGGAAGGCAACAACACGACAGATGACACTTGGACGAATATGCTACGGATGCGAATATCGATATTTAAACGATATACGTACCACCAATTTGTTGGTGACTTTGGCCGCGACCATTCCGAATGCAAGTATGTACAGGGCTGGATGATTTTCATAGACGTGCTCAGCACTTTTTCTATATATTATAAACGCTGGTACTACCACAAAACTAAATGGTATAATTGGCGACAAAACGGACGTTCCCTGAAACCAAATTCAATTATGCAGAAACTATTTCTAATTATGTGCAGAGATTACATCGCATTCGTGAAAATGTTTTAATTAAATACACATTTTTTTTATTAAAAAAAATATATATATTTAATTTAAATTTTATTAAAAAAAATATATATATTTAATTAAAACATTATTTTTTTATTCAAAAATATGTCTTAAAGTTAGTATTTATATCTTTGACAAAAAATGCATTAATTCTTTAAAATACAAAAAATTGATGTAAAAATTGTATTATCGAAATATATGTATACAAGTCATGTAAAACAAAAATCTTCAAAAATTAGTATAGCCATTAATGCTTTACGTCTAATAATTATATTATCACAACAACTACTGTTATACATACATTCGACAAACAGGAAGATGCAAATATGAAGAAAGAAAAAGGCGATATGTTAAGCATGTTAAAATCTAATATATAAAAATGAAACTTTAGTCGAGTCGAGTTAGTACAATAGATAGATCAGTCTACCAAAATACAATACGCTAGATAAGTTATAAGTTATAAGTCATAGATAAAATCTAAAAGGAAACACAGTGTTAATAATTATCATTACGATATAAAAGGTTAAGTTTATCTGGCGCATGCAACACGCTCTAATGTAATATACATATGCGTTAAAATAAAACTCGCAATACCGAAACGAATTTCATAGAAGATCGTTATAATAGATAGCGCGTAGCAGGCAATGCGTATCAGTTAAATGTTCTATTTTCTACTGTAACACGCGTGCAATAATCCGGCCCAAAAGTAGAACTCAAAAAGATATCTCATACTGCAAGATGAGAAAGAGGAAGTGAAAGGAAAGGACGTGGATTTTTCTCTGCGAACAAAAATGTGGCGGAACGAATATTAACGTAACGTAAAACTGGTAATGTGATGAGTGACTTTGTATACGACGTTAGATTTAGGCCCACAATTGAAATTGTCTACAGGAACTTCTATCTTCATTTTCGACAAGTGTTGCTGCTGCAATTCATTACTGTATTAGAAACAAAATATAAGGCACATTCTTAATTTACTACGGACAATAAATAAGATTTGTTGCTCCTAGAGCATGTTTACATTAAGACCTAATGTACTCGCTCAACGTGACGTTTAAAAAGCATGGGCCTAAATCACGAACTAAACGAAAAAAGAATGCACTACACAGTGGACCCACTACTTTTTTTTTTCAGCAGACTTACTGCGACGGTGGAGCCATTTTTTCCGACACCACCGGCGAGAATGACGGATATACTGCTCTGTGCAAGTAAAATAGCGATGCCCACAGCAGCCCATAACGGAAACACCTTCACCTCTGTGCCAGTGTATGGCAACTGTATAAGCGACACGAAAGATCTTTTGATTAGTCGTCAGAAGCTATCCCTCGCATCTCGAGGACTTTCTAATACTCTATATCCCTGACCATACATTAATAATTGCGAAGTGAGAAGTCAGAAATATATTTTTTTTTTTGCTCTTGAAACAATTTCGTATTTTCGGTGGCTTGTTAATCATGCATTTTATTACCACAGAATATATGTACAACGTTACATTGCCTATATTCCTATGTCAATTGATATATTCATTCGTTCAACTAAATATTTCAATATACCTTCATTGTTTCTGTGACTTCTGATTGGAGTTTGCATTTGTCTTATAACACTAATGACGTAAATCTGTCCCTTTTTATTTGTATCAGGAAGACTGATAGTGTGACAGTTTATACATAAAATTTTTAGACTTCTTTCTTCTTATTAATTAAGTAATATGGTATGTTAAATTAGTTTTCTACTATCTTCGCAATAAAAAAAAAAAAAAAAAAAATTACCTGTGGAATGAGGATGGGTTCGTCTGTAAAAAGATAAGAGTGCGGGGCCATATGCGAAATTTGCTGTTATTCCACGAATGTTAAAATGTGATCGGGAAAGTGCAAGGAGCAATACATGGTGGTACAAGATCCAATTTGGATCCGGAAGAAAAAATTCAAAACTAAAATTTTATTACTATGCATTCGGATGTGTTGCTACTTTTTTGCTTCTTTTTATAATGCATAACTGAATGCACATCATGTTTCTTTGCAGGCATCGCTCTATTCCGCAAAAAACTACATTTCAATAAATTACATACATGAAAATTTTGTTTCAATAGATCTTGAAAAAAAAAAATAATTTAGAACTTCCAAAATACGTGAAAAGCTCTCTGTCTTATATAATCAAGTATAAAGTTTTACATAAATTATACAATATATATTATAAAATTTTATATAAATAAAAATTATTTTTTAATTTAAAACAATTCGTGTTTCGCTTTATTTGTTAAAATTACATTTTTCTAAAAATAGCCAATATAAGCATAAATTTCTTGAGAAAAAAGTGATTGTAGTTCAATTATATATTAATTTTGTAATTCAGTTATATATTAATTTTGGATATTAGATGATAAAAAAAGCGTTTGAAAAAAAATGTGCAAAATACTGAAAGGTATCACTCTAGTGTTTGAGACATAAGTGGCGTACATCAATGTTTAGTAATCCAAACACCCGATGTAAGTTTCCCAGAAGAGATCAATAGAGAGATAGCAGGCAAGAAGAAATATAGGAAATAGACAACATTTCTACTGTACAAAATGGCAAAAGATATTAGAAATATGTCGCACTATGCGAATGCCAATTCTCGCACTTACTGCAATTGTGGAACCGTTTTTTCCAATCCCACCAGATTCAAAGACTTTACAGAATTGAAGGAAGACATGAATGTAGCCTGTATAAAAGATCACTGCTACGTAGTTACTGTATGTGCCTACACCGAGCACAGGGATCTAAACAAAGCCACAAGATCTTCGTTTATGATGAGAATTATATGTTGCATTATTCTTCTGTGTTCTGTGTTCCTAAGTATACTTATACATAAATTTTTTTATAGTTACATCTCTCGGCACTACTGCCGCTATAATATTGCTTCAGATGGGCTTAGTTCTACCTGTGGTTGTATTTACATATCAATGGAAATAAAAACTCAAGTTATGAAGCACGAGGAAGCAGCTAATTAGAATATACACAAGTCGAATGAAAAGGCTGCCTCGTCCTGCACTCAACATATCACAATTTTCATCATAGAGAGATGCTAGAATTCTTAGTCAAATACGCAATATTTGAGAGTTTATTATCTATAGTAATGCAAATGCTTTTCTTCTTTAAAAACGTAATATAAACAAATGTAATGTACTATTTTTTATAGCCATACAGAAAAAATTTTGCAATATTTGTTTGCATCACGTACTTTTATTTACATAAAAAAAATTACTCTTCGCAATTACACGCAAACAAATGTTGCAAAGATGTTGTACACAAATGTGTATGATACAAATTTATACAAAATTTTACATTGGACCGTGAAAATTTCTAAAATATATTCTTTGATTTGAAATTGTTTCAAAAGAGCATTGTTGTGCACTTACAAAGAAATTGACTGATGTAATCACAAGATTTTTCATCGTGAAAAACATAGAAAAACTATATCTATTTTTATATGGAGAAAGATCTACGTTATGAAAAAAAAAAAATTTTTTTTTTTTTTTTAACTAATATACTGAAACACTAATGACTTGTGCTGAAAAGTCCAGAAATTTATATATAAAACAAATATACTTATTGATCATATTAATGGCACATATTATTATGAGAATTGTAGGATGTCGGGGTGTTGAGAGACCAGGGCGTACGTAGGATACAATTTAGTAAGGAGCATGGAAGTAAGATGCGTGTTAAAAATCAGTAAATATTTTGCAGTAAAGAAGTAATCTCAGCGCTGCTCCTCATGCCATGCTGTTTCCCATTTCTGCATGTTCAATAAAAGATTTTAATTAACGGACTTACAGCCACAGTGGAACCATTCTTGCCCACTCCTCCGGTAAAAATCACCGAAAATATGGAATACAAATTTGCCAGTGCACACATCACTGTCATAACTCCTAATAAATACTTAAACATAAAACCATCTAAGAATGGTATCTGCAAAAAATATTTTCATTAAACTCACGTAACGATATTGTCGTATTAAAAGTTTAAAATGTTTCGTAAATACCAAATTCCAAGAAAAATTTTTTTCGATAAAAATCATTTTTAAGCAGCGCAAAGTATAACTTTTTAATGTTATATAATGTATTCGGTTCTCATCTGTATGTATGTGTTGTTGTCTGTTTATATGTATGTATAAAAAAGAAAATGTGACATAAGTTGTAAGAAATCAGGTTTACGGAATAAAACGGAAGGTTATTTTGCATTACTAATGTATATACATAATTTACTACTTCCTTTTTATGTATAGTTTCTAACGTAAATATGTGCCCCACAATATAAGCTATTAAAATTACTTACCAGGCAGTGAAATCAATAGTACAAGCAAAATATAATTTTTAGAATAATATTTATAACTCCTAAATACTATAAGACAAAATCATATATATACAACAAATAAAATTTGAGAAAAGGATAAAATGATATTTTTATGTAATAAAAATGTGTAACATGACTTTCAAATTAAAATTCACTTTTGCCTGTACTATGTGTGAGTTACACTTTCTTTTAAATGTGGAAGAAATATTACAATGCAATTGATTTTTGCGAAAATTGGATTGTCTTGTTTGATGCAATAACCACAAGAGCGTGATTGTGAATAATTAAACGAATACCTTGTGTTAGCAATAATTCAATGTGAAAAAGAATGATGATATTGTGATTAATGCTTTAAAAGAAGCAAATGTGAAATATATCATATTTGTTATAGCCGTGCAAAATACTAATAAATTATACAGAACACGCTCTACAAATTGCCACACAAGATATTCTTGCCATGTGTATATGCAAAGCAAAGGTATAATTGAAAATTATACAACCTCCATCATCCAGACTTCTGGACCAAAGATTGCGGAAATCAGGTGAATACCTATGATGGTGAATTGTGCTTCCGTTACATCCACTTTACCGAATCTCAAGGAACCTATCAAAAAGTTATTTTAATGGGTAAAACATAAAATTTATTACGTCACTAAATACATTATGTAGAAATTCTAATGAGTGGCATTGCAAATTTTTTTTACCTGAAACATAAGTCTGCCAATGAGCACAGTAAAAAAGCGTCATCGCGCAGAAACACTGGAAAAACATCCATGTTGGATAGTATCCTAATTGTACTGCTATACATGCCGACAAAGCAACGAATACTGAAAAACAAGGAACATTGTTAGTTTATTTATTCTAAATACTCATTAAATGCAAAAACAATGAAAGAAGAGATAATACAGAAATGTTGCCTACCTGTTGATATTGAATCGCATCCATGATCAAACAGTTCACCCAATGGGGTAGACGTGCCAGTTCTTCTGGCTTGTTTTCCATCGATAGCGTCTAAACTCTGGTATATAAATAGACCAAGCGCACATAAAAAACATGCCCATCTTGGTGGCTAAAAAAATAATAAAATGTCAGTTAATTTTATTATAGCTACATTTTTGTGCACTCTAAGTTATATTAGATATATATTATTAAATTGTTTAGAAAAATATAATATTAATTTAATTACTCAAAGATTTAAAATACAGTTTAAAATACAATTGGTAATCATTTTACAATAGAACAACATGGTGTTATATAAGAGACAAGGCTCTGTTATATTTGATGAATCATTATATATATTTTCACACAATCATGTTTGCTTACTTGCTTAATCAGAACAAATGTTCTTCAATGACTCATCATTATTATGATTCTTGCAAAACTTATAAACAAATCCATTAATTTTGCAGAGTTATTATAAATTTGTTATAAAAAAGTTAAATTTATAGTTCATAAATTCCATTAAATAAATTTAACCTCTAAGCTTTAATGTGGGAATTGTTAATGACACTTCAATTTGCATAAAATGTAGCCAATGTTATTGTGAGATAACAAGTTGTTATGAGATAAATAAAGTATTAATAAAGCAGTGTCAACATGAGGAAAATATTCTTTCATACGTAAAATCAGCATTTTATATAATTTGGGTGGTTTTCATACCTTTTTAAATGTTAACAATATTAAAAATTTGCAGTAATATTTAAAAACGTTATAGGGAATTCAGCTGTTCACACTTCGGACAAGTGTGCGCCTTAAGCAGGTTAGGCTGTTTAGTCTACCTCGACTCTCGCGTCTGGGCTGTAGTAGACGAGAATCAGGGTTGTGACAATGTTGACAATGAGCCCGAGCACGGTGATGAGATTAGGCGCGAGCCAGAGCGGCACCTTGCTGACCAGCCAATCCCACCAGGGCTGCAGGAAACCGTCCAGAAGGCTGTTGCTCGTGCAGCTGTACTTGTGCTCGCTCAGCCGTTTCAGCTGGCCAGGCGACAGCAGTTTCTCCTTGTAGAACTGCATGCTGCCTCGTAGACTGCACGCGTGATGTTGCGAAGCGAGACCTCTTCGGTCAAACGCGTTCGGTCCTGCGAAGAAACGCGCGACGACACGGCAACACTCACCGAACACCCGCGTCAAAACGGTCAAACATAACAAGCGATCATCGCATATGACATCTCAGCCCGCTCTGCTTCTACGCCGGAAACTGGCTGCCGCAGCACGGCTGGCGCCCGGAACTTGCCGCGCGTTCAATGCGCGAGTGCGATCGCGTGACGTGGACTCGTCTCATAGACGAGTTGTAAAAAGAAGCGTCTATGTTAAAAACTGTGTGTTCAAAAAAATCTGCAATCAACATGAATTTTATTCAATTAATATAATTAATAATTAATAAAATAAATTAACATAAATTTTAAATTATTTGCTACGTACCCCTCTCTTCTGAAAATAAGGTCCTTATCGCATGAAACGTGTTGTAGGAGAAGCAGCTTTCTGCTCCGGTGAGCGTTCATTCAACGGTTGTGTTTTCTAAACACTGCCGTTGTTTTTTCTGCCTGTAATTCATAATTTATATTTAATCGTCGCTTTTTGCTGATGATAAATTGTTTTCCGAAAAAAGTCGATTATTGATGTTTGCATTTTGCTTAAAAGTATATAAAAACACTACAGTTTTTACTGTAATTTTGAATAGTGTTTACGTACCATGGCCACTTTACTCGGGTTTTCAAGACTTTTTAATTACGCAGCGAGTAATTGTTTGAGAAGAGTGACACCGATTGCAATTTGCAAGCAATATTATCCTGGTATGTAATTTCAACAAAATTATGTTTGACAATATTACATAACGATGCAGTAGACTCAAATGAAAATATAACCTCTTCTAACCACTCCACATTATTCCTGAAATTATAAATTAAAAGTTATAGATATTTCTATATTTTGTTATGTTAATATGATCCTGCTGTAACGCAATATTATATAAAAAATAAAATAATACATAATTTTCTGTTAAAATTTTACAATAGTAACAAACAAAATGTCACTTTATTGATAAAAAGAAATAATTTTTTTGTTTCAGTATTAAGATTATGGGAGACACCAATAGCAGAGTATCGAACAGTTAAATCACCATGGATGAAGACTATTCCATCTTATCAAACAGAGATACAAGAGTGGGACGAAAAGAAAGAAAAAATATGTGCTGGTTGTTAACAAAAACTTATTTTGTATGAAGTTTTTATGAATATTGTCTAAATTTCAAATAATGTTTCATCCTTTATTTGCAGACGTGACAAATGAAATCAATAATCAGATTGCAACAAACACAACTGGTCGAATGTTTGCAGTCGTGCAAGTATGTGGAAAGCAATTTAAAGTGACTGAAAACGACATTATAATTATACAAGGATTCTGGCCACCAAATATAGGCGATCATCTAAAGTTAGAGAAAGTATTGCTCGTCGGCAGTACTGATTTCACTCTTGTAGGAAGGCCACTCTTAAACAGAGAACTCGTTTCGGTCGATGCAACTGTCATTGAAAAAACTCTATCTCACACAAAAACTCGCTTTAGGTTTCGAAAGAGACAGCAATATCGTCGTATAAATTGTAAGATATGAAGACTGGAAAGACTAGAACTTATATAATGATATATTTAAGATGTTTTCTATTTCATTTGTGTTAATACATTTTTATTTTTCAGTTTATAGAGTACAGCATACAATGCTGCGAATTAACTGCATAAATGTAAATGGGAGCATTGACGAGAAGAAAGAAGTTGAAGGATTAGACAGAGTATATTGAAAGTAGAATATATATAAATTAATAAAAAATAATATGGAAATCTTGTATATTATCTCTTTTCCTAAAAAAAGTGCTCACATCTGATGAAAAGAAACATTGCAACTTTATAAAAGTGTACAAATTAATTTCCTTCAGCGCATTTTTGTATACTTAAATTATTTTTAATCCATAATTATAAATGAAATTCATAATGATCATAATAATTTACAGTTAATCAAAATAATATTAAGTTCATATCAAGATTTTATATGATTTTATCGAATTGATAATTCAATTCCATAATTCCATCGATGACACTTCACGGAAGCCGCGTGTTCGCAAACATGCGACATCTAGCTCGCGGAGTCATGGAGTAGTGTAAACGGAGCTGCGACCAGCAGTGACGGGAACAACGTCGCGCGTTGCAGTCGATTGTTTCATTTCCCGAATCGATCGGCTATTATTATACATCAGCGTTCCCAGCTGGATTGCGCATTCCGACGAAGAGACTATTTCTCACGGAATTTTTGTAAACCACGTGAAAATGTTTTTCACGATTAACGCATTCGCCAGACATTGACACTTTCTTCTCAACATACACTCGATCATCGGCGCCGAAGGAGAGCGGGAATTTTGTAGTAAGTTCAACACACGCGCATATGTCGCTGGTCGGAAAACCGGAAGATCAAGCGCAAACTGGTTTTTAAGGACGCACGATTTTTCCAGAGCGGTTTTTAAATACCTTTAATTGAATTTGATCAGCCTGTTTCGCGCAATCTTACAATTTCTTATCTGCAATTCAAGTCAAAATGCTGCAATTATTAAAAAAAATTTTTTTATATTTTGTAAACTACATCGAAAAATTATATCAAAATAAAATTTAATCTTTAGAATTAAAAATTTATATGTTTAATATTTTTTACATTTTTTTTTATTGTAATATAACTTTATGTTTATTTTGTTAGTCCAAAAGTATGCTGTGCATAATCAACGCCGTCCGTAATTGTGGAGTGCAAGATTCGTAAGGGACTAAAATATTATTTTCAAAATGTGAAAATTGTGTGATTTTTTCCTTTGAATCTTGTTATATTCTTACAAATTGCTTACGCTATTTCGTCAACCTGTTTTTGATGACTCCGGATATAGTCTGCATGTTTATCTTCAGATGTAATTCATCTTCCATCATGATAAAGGCTTTTAGCATACAATAAACACAAATTAAACTGTTGATCGCTATGTGGTGTGTGTGAGCATTATCACACAAGTATATCTATATTGTGATAACAATTATGCATAATTTTCCTCTGCATATATAGTTCTTTAACGCATAGAAAATAGTTACACATAATTGTTATCACAATATAGATATGTTGCATATATGTCTTCCTTGTAATTATGTGATAAAAATGTATCGCTGACAAATTCCGAAAGGCATCGAACATAACATAATGGAATCGTTAATTAATATATTCACTAATTATGTACTCACCCAATTGGCGATAAATATCCTTTCATATATCCTACATCGCTCCTATCCTGTCCAGATTCCTGTTGAAGATTCCTTATTGCACGGCAACGATTTTTGAAGTACACCGCAGAGGTGAAATAATCTGAAAAAAATGGCAGGAAAGAAGAAGGGCAAGAAGGTGAAGAAGCAGGCGAAGAAAACTGTGGATGAATATCAGCTCCGCAGGGATTTGAGGGAGCAGGCAAAAATGACAACATCCGCAGATTTGGCGCAGGAAGCTGTGACGCAGGCTGCTGTGAAGGAGGAGCCGCGATTCTCGGAGAATATTAGAATCGGTGGTATCGAAGGGTGAGTCCAATCCGTATTTTGTTAAATTTCGATGCAGGTTGCATCTTTATAAAGGATCCTTGAAGATCTGAAATCAATTTTTTCTTAGTTAAAATGTGTAATTCAAGAATAGTAAAATTATTATGCTTATAAAGCACAGAATCTTCTATAACACTGACACAGCTAAATTTTTTAATCAAATTTTTTATGAATATAAATGACTTGAAATAATACTACATTTAAATTCACTGATAATTAAATGGGCCGATTATGGTTAAAAAATAAATATACACTGTGTTAGGTGTTTTACGTAATCTAATTCTGATAAAAAAATTAGTTATCGGTAATGAAAGATAATATCTTCTGCAAAATGTGCGTATCATCGAGATATGCCGTTATATCTTACATTTCCTATTTAAAAAATCAAACCCGGAAAATGCGCGATAATAATCTTGTGAATTATATCTCTGTTGCAAGTTACTTATAATTTTATCTGCCGAAATTCAGACGATTACACGCATGACTGCTATTTAGCTTGAAGTCATTTAATAAACAAATTCGAATATTTTCTTCATTTCTTTCATCCTTTAAGATTTATAACGGCTCAACATTTATCTTATCGTACACAGCTACAATAAGTTTATAAATATAATTTAGATGTGCATTCAGTGTTATTTTAACGATGTAAATATTTTTTATTTATTGTTTTGTTATTACATAATATTTAATAATCTCTACCTACTGTTTGGTTAATAATTTTCACAATTGGAATTATGCGATCAATAAAAGAGACAGAATGTGACTTAAATACTGATAACGGCAATCAGCATTCGTTAGCCGAGTTTAATTCTGAGAAGTCTTGCGCATATCTTATTATTAAATGGACAATGTATCTTTGTTCTCTGAAAAGAAATCAAATCATTAAATAAGAGAAAATATAAATTATTATATAGCAACCATTATAAATGCAGAATAATTAAAAGAAAGAAGATATTTAGAGGCGCGTATTATGCTTGCGAAAATTAAAACTATAAAGTATATAAATTTAATCGTTTGATTTTCAGAGGTGGCACACATTCCACACTTGTAATACTCAATGGAAAAGGTGTGAAGTTAACGGAAATTAAAGGACCGAGTACTAATCATTGGGTGACTAAAATAAAATTATCCTTAAAATGAGCTGCTTATCTTTAAAGTGCTACGATATAAATTTATAATATTACGAATTTCACAAACTGATGATTTATTAATTTTCCACAACAAATTTAAAGTTTTCGAGACAAATTAATGAAATTATCATTCTATTTGTTGAAGTTATTCACAAAAAATGTACGCGATTTTTTCAGGCAATTGGAATAGATGAGACTGCCATCAGACTTAGTAGAATGATAGAGAGAGGTAAAGAAGCGCTAAGTATACCGGAATCAGTTCCTTTGGATTGCGTAGTGAGTATAAATTAAATATTTGTATCGTTAGCGCAAAGTATAACTATTTATACTTATGAATATAATTAATAAAATTTAAAATACAAACAAAATTTTAAAAGCTATAATAATTTTAAGATGATATATATATTTTCTCTTTTTTATTTTGTGGCATTTAGCTGTTTTTAATTTCCAAATTTCTGATTATACCTCAGTAAGATCAACACCGATCATTGAAGTTTATTGCTTCCATAAAGAGAACGCTCATGATTCCTTTTTTCAACAGGGACTTTGTTTAAGCGGCTGCGAAGAGGAAACCACCAATCGTCAGCTCGTAGAGACCCTATTGCAAAAATATCCAAACTCGGCCAAAGATTATATGGTCAGCTCAGACTCTCTCGGCAGCCTTAGGACTGGTTTGGAATCCGGTGGGGTTGTGTTGATCGCCGGAACTGGTAGCAATGCTCTGCTGATCAATCCTGACGGGACGACTCATAATTGCGGAGGATGGGGACACATGATGGGCGATGAAGGAGGAGGTGTGTATTTTTAATACGTAAGAACGCAAATAAAAAATTAGATTTGAAGTTAGATTACTTTTAAATCAAATTCGCGAATAAAATTTTTAGACAAATTCATTAAATAAACGATAAATTTTCAATTAAATCTTATAGAAATAATATGACTATATTGGATCTGTTGGATTTGTTTAAATCTAGATAAATTCGCACTTAATTTTTCTATAAATTAATTCTAATCAATTACCTTCTCTTATCAATATTTTAAGCTTACTGGATCACTCATCGAGCTTTCAAATATGTGTTCGACGATATTGACGGCCTCGTAAAAGCGCCGGAGCCTATAAGCTACGTGTGGCCAGCGATGAGGAATTACTTCAATGTGATCGACCTAAACGGCATATTACCATATTTCTATACAAAATTCGATAAAAGCGCTATTGCTAATTTCACTAAAGAAATCGCGACCGGCTGCGAGAGGAATGATCCGTTGTGTCTGAAGCTTTTCGAAGAGGCTGGACAGGTCCTGGCGAAACACATCATCGCCCTCTGGAAAAAAGCACCGTCTGTCAGTATTTCAATTATGATAAAATGATTTAATGTATTTGTAATAAAATTTTATAAAGCTGACTTACGAATATCGCATTTGTCTTTCAGGAGCTCACGTCAGGTTTCGATGGCTTAAAGGTAATCTGCGTCGGATCCGTATGGAAATCGTGGAAATTCATGGAGAAAGGTTTTGTGGACGAAATTCGCAACTGTAATATCATAAAACGGTTGAGTTTACTGCGTCTGACGACGACATCGGCGCTGGGCGCCTGCTATCTAGCAGCGGAAAAGATTAATTGTCCATTCGTTAAACCGTACGATGACAATGTTGAGGTCTTCTATCTTTACTGCCAATAATTTGAAAAGATAGAGAGAAGAGCTATTAAAAAATCGTACCATTGTTTCTGATAACGCTCCTGTTCACGGAAACGGGGAAAGTACACGATAGAGCATGAATAAGGAAATTGTCTAAGCATCTTCAAGCGGAGAAAAGCGCTGATCAACAGGCATTACATCATATGGATTATCTTGAACGGTTAACAATCTGAAAAAGATTCTGCTTGATGATTGCGGAGCACAAGAATAGAAATAAATAATAAATAAATTAAATCTGCAAAAATGTAACAATAAAAATATTATTTTTGTAAAAATTATAAACTGTAAATATCGACTCAGTATTTATATAAATTTTTATCAAATCAATACAAAATTTTTTCGAACAGTTAGATCCTAATTATTAGAATATATAATAGAGTAAAAAAAAATTCGTCATGTGTAATAAATTTATGATTTTCTTGCACAATCGAGATATGAATTTTGTTTCTTTTTAATATACATACCAAATTTCACAGCAATAAGAAGATGGGATTGAAAGCAATCTGGAATATAGCTTGGGACTGGATAGCGTGGGCTTTCTCGTTCGTCGTTAAAATTGTGTTGTATTTGCTCTTGTCTCTCTTCGGTTTGATATTCTTCCTGGGCATCATTGGCGCAATACTAATCTTTGTTTTATACGCGCTTGGTTTCTTATCGCAACCGACACACGAACGCAGATGATTAACAGATTCGAAAATGCATCCAGTAAGTGTGACGCAATGCTTTATCGTCGCCATAAATTAAATGGATATATAGTTTGAGAAAAATAGCTCTTATTTGAATACGAATACTTATCGACGTAAAATTACATGCAACATACTTTTGAAAAATATATTTATATCAGGTTATCACAATTTATCGCGTGCACATTGCAACAACAACACGTACACACGTACAATATCTTTCTTCTACTCTCATTTACATATATACTTTGACTAAATTTACTATATTACAATTCATATAATCAAGTTTACATAATTAAAATCTCGTTCTTTCAAGATGTCCTTCGGAGCGCAAAGTTTTCAACATTTACAGTCTTGAACTATATATTCATATAGATATATTGCAAACGCAAGTCTTATCTTATAAATAATGTACATTTGCTTAGAGAATAAAAACTTTGACAAGATATAATCCACGTGTTAAAAAAAATATATATATGTATATATATATATATATATATATATTTAATCATCTTTCGAAAAAACATGATTGGAACAGCCACCTAGGAATTATGCTGTCGTTGTACGCGTACATTTACTCTTAGCACGCAGTAAGAATGATAGAGCTCAAAAGATACTCCGTGAAAATACTTAACAATATAACATGTACTTATTACGAAGCAGAATATTGCCATTCTTAATTATGACATGGCATTCTTACCATTAGTTCTAGTACAATTAAAGTTGCTGATTTTCGATGAATCGTGCGTAAATGTGTTCCGCTTGCAGAGCTACTGAATTGTGGCAGACATTGTATCACTTTATGTTAAGCTCATATTGCATTAACCGGCTTCTTTTTTTTGCTTTCTACGTTTTCTCGCATGCTAAACTATATGCTACATAGTCTTCATTTCGTCGCACGAAAATCTCGAGAGTCATTGAAGTATCGCTGTATACTATCATTTATATAAAAAGAGGCGATGCAAATGAAATTTTACTTAAAACAACCTTATTTTATAAATATCTGAATTGGCGGTCCCAGGTATCGGCTTCTTTGACTTAGGATGTCGTGCGGAAATATATTCCAGCACAAATGCAATAGCTCCTTAATTCTCATACGTAGAAAATGAGAAATCAATGCTTCAAATCGAATATTTCTATAAGCAGTGGCTCTACGCTGGATGGATTGACGTTCAAGTAAACTCCCACGACTTCGTCGTTGAGTTTATGAAGCTCGGAAATCTTCTGTATCAATTTGAGGAACGTGGATTTGGCCTCGCAGCCGGGATAAACGCTCTCCAGATATCGTCTGAGGAGATAATAGTATGAATTCTAGAAGAAAGAAATGCAATACATGTGAAAATATAGTCTGAATTTTTCAAATATGTTGAAAAAAAATATAAGAACCTATTAATATTTTATAAACATTCTGCAAATTTTTATTTTGTTTCATTGTAAAGACATATTTTAATATACATATGTATAACACATATGTATAATAGTTCAAAATTATGAGAGAAAATCAAAGATTTTTTATACTCTTGGACACTAGAAAAGCAAATAAAAAGTGGCAAATTAATGTATCTGAAGATTTTACTTACTTGCTCTAGTTTAATAACATCCCCGTGCACAACCCTCGGTCTATCAGGCGTGAACAAGGCGATTGCGCTCAAAATTAAAATAATGTTTTCATCCCGCCAGCGTGGATCAAATGTTCTCACAAACCTCGCGTGTTCCGCGTACAAATTTCCTTTAGCTTCTTTCAGAACGTCAACTTTAATATTTGACATACTTTCTTGGCTATGAGGTATCTTCCACATGTCTTTATCCGGATCGTAATTGATGGCCGATCTCAAAATCATCATTTCTGTGCAGCCGCCTTTCAGCAGGGCTAACTGATCCTCCTGGCACATATTCTTGAAGGCGTTTATCTTCTTCGACATTTTTATCAAGCGCCTAATTGCTATAGCCGTTAGATTTATTACGTCTAATAGCATTGGATCAGATTGTCCGAAATTGTTCTGAAAATAAATATCTATCTTTACCATCCGTTCTTACTGAACGCATTATCGAACATAAAAGTTCAGCATTACCTTGAATTTACATTCCTCGCCAACTAAATTCGTTATGTCATCGTCTAAGGGAGCCAATAACGCTTTATTGGCAACTATCAGCTCGTTCAATTTCGCTCTCTCGGCGTCATTTAATTCTCTACTGCTTTGATTGCCGCCGAAACTAGAAAACGCTGAATATTCCAACTTGATGGCCTCGCATAGAATAGACTCTATCGAATTAGCAGCGATTGGTATCCTGAAATAAATAATTCAATTTCAATGGCGTTTTGAAATATTTCGCTTACTTCATCATGTAAATTATTAGAATCATTAAAATACGTACGCGAAATTAAGTCGATCGTACCTTTGAACTTCCTGGAGAACATCTCTGGTGACATCGGCAGTATTTTTATTCCAATCCGTACTCGTGCCAGGTTCCAAGTTTTGATTCTTACATTCTTCGGTATTACGATTGGTAATCAAATCCGTCAGGATCGGATTCTCCACGTGGCTACCTTTGGTCTTTGGCGTGGTGACGTTACTACTACTACTACTATTACTACTACTACTACTAGTATTATTTTCCACAACTTCTTTCGGCTGACTAGCCGTTTTGTTGTCACCTGCGTCGGTCGTACTGCTCACGCCGTGCTCCTCCAAGAACCGCGTTATGTGCGGATCGGCTGCCAAACACGTCGCCATATCGGGATCCGCCATAATTTTCATTATCACCCTCTGATCCTGAAATATCTTCGCGAGCAAACTCGAATTGCTGGCGAACTTTGTGAGCAGCGCGGGATCCTCTTTGAATTTGGCGACCAGACTGCTCCCGCTCGAGCACGTTTCCTTCGATTTCTGACACAGCGTCTCTTCTTTCGACGGCGTGAGACTCAAGTCCGGCTGACTCGTCGCGCTGTACGCGAGAGAATTTTGCTCGAATTTGGAGTAACTAGGCGCGCTCTCCTCAAACGGAGAACTGTACATCGTCGCGTCACCGTTCATGTTTACAAATTCGGTGCTGAACTGCAATGGGCTCTGCTCGAATTTCCCCGAGTTCGTGGGAGAACTCTTGTCCTTTCCCGTGTTCTGTGGCGTCATGTTGAAGTCGGTGAATCTCGCACGGCTGTGAACAAAGAATGCCGATTTAATCCTTCGCGATTCTATCTCTACGTTGTTCTTTACATACAGAATAGATTTGCATTCGTCGTACCTGGCAAGATTGGATCTTGAACCATGAGCGGACTCCTTCAGCATGTCTAATGTCTTCGTTTCAGCGATATTCGTGCTCTCCGGTGGACTCGATGGACTCGGCACGCTCGCCGCCGTCACCGGGCTCATACTTTCGACTACATTTTGCCTATTGCCGTCTAAGTCTGTGTATTTCCTATCAGATTCCCAAAAATATGTCTCCGATATCGTCGACGCGACGGAATTGACCGACATCGACGTGTCCTCGAACGTACAGTCGTCCACGGAGTCCTTTTTGATTTTTGACGCTTTGGCATTGTCGGATTGAGTTCGTTTCTTCGCGCGATTCTTCTCGATCTTCTTGCGCTTCAGGACTTTGTCTTCTTCAGACATTATGTACTCCTTGCGCATACCAATACTAAAACATTTGTCCAGACGACATTTTTGGCAAAAACGTCTGGTTACTGGCGTAATGTTACAGTTTTCCGTGAAGGGACATTTGAAGTCCTGCAAATAACAAATCTTTTTATTCGCTGGCCAAATAATATCAAAATGAAGTTTATTTATTGATTTTCTTACGCATTTCAGAAACTTTGCGCAAAGATGCTCTTTGATTTATTTTAAATAATCAGGAAATAAATTACAGTATAATCTTTTGTTTTGTCATGAAAACGGAAATCGTTTAAAGTTAGAAAACATCAGTATCTTATCTAAAATTCTTAACAGTCTGTTGCTAATGAATTTCAATGTGCGGAATCTACTTATAAATTAAATAATTGCGTCTTTAAGCATTTATTATTAGAAATTTAAAGGTCACAAGATATGCTTGCTTATTGAAACCAATATGATTTCTTTATCATATCAAAAATTTATGTCTACATTGTAAACATGAGAAAATTATTTTCAACTTTGTATCAGCTGATAACATAGTAACGTAACATTCCAAGTGAAAGTAAAGTTATCACTTACAGATAACTAAATTTGTTGGAAAAGTGAGCTGCCTAAAAACTTTTCTAAGAATTTCAAGAAGTCTACATTGAAAGTTTTTCAATATAAAGATTAATCTTTTCAAGTTTAGAAAAAAAAATAAGAGTAAAATATTCAGCACAGTGATCTGATTCATTCTTCTCGAGGAATTGAATTTGAATTCAAAATAATAATAATAAGAATTTGAATTGTAAAATAAGCGACTAGTGAGTCGTAGATAATCAAGATTCAGCGCGATAGCTGTTCAATTCACCAGACTCACAAATTGGATTCAACGTCAAAATTTCTCAATGCTAGAATTAATCTTCTCAAGTTCCTCCGGAAGTGAATTAGTTCAGCAAAAACCTTGAGTCAAAAGCATAAATGAATTCACCTTGTTCTTGAGCGCATTCCTCCTGAAGAAGGCCTTGCAGCTCTCGCAGGAGACGGCGTTGAAGTTGTAGCCGAGCGCCCGGTCGCCGCAGACTCCGCAGATCTTGTTGGCCTCCCTCGCCGGCTGTTCATCGTCCATTGCTCCTGAGGTGGCGTTCTCGCGAGCGGCGATTAGCACGTCTTATCTAACGCAGGCGGTAACATCGTGCTCCCCTCTCGCTCTCGCTCCTCTTCTCACTCTCCCGTCCCGTGTACAAAATGTGCTGTCGCTCCCAAGCGCCGTCGCCGTGACTCACGTCAACATTGTTTATCACATCCGTGATGCACGCCGCGGGGGTCGGATCGCGACTATTTACCGCTCACGGCGGCCAGCATCTTCCTCCGCCGCCACGATTCATCCGCAGTCCAACGCCCCTCGGATCCGCGCCTACAAAAGCTCCTTAAGTGATCGAACCGAATGAAGCGCTCAATTGACGGCTCACTTGTCAGCAGTTAACGAGGCGGTGTGCACAAATCCGTCGTACAATCCGTTCCGCCATCCTTCCCCACTTTGTCCCACTCCACGTCTCGCGCCATCACGCTGCCTGCATCACCCGCGCGATGCAAGATACCGTGACACCCCGCGCACGCATTAGCTGCCACATCGGCTGCGTTCGGAAAACAGAACGTTTGAGCACTCGCCTTTTGAGAGGCAGAACCGATTGGTAGATCTAGGAGAATGTATGATTATCACGCAACGGTTGCGCAACCGTTGAGTGAGCACATACGACTCTCATTGAGAGGACTTGTCTGAAACTTAATCTAAATAATTTTAACAATTTTAAAATTTATATCAACAGGAACAAAAAAATATTTTAAATTAAACATTGTAAAGTTTAGTGAATATACATGATCACGATTAACCAATCCATTCTACGGATATATAAAATTGTAACGCGAGAACAATTATGCCGACTATTGAAATGCGATTGTTCCCTTTTTTGAGCTTGCTCAATCTTTAAATAATTTCACATTGTATCGAGCTTGATGTAAAACGAGGGGATGGCGCTCGATTTTACTTCTATCAATTAGCTTGGCTCAAAGTTCACGGACACGCATACATAATACGACACGATTGTCACGATTACGCGAGACCAGATGGATTTACGGCGGTCGATCGTCAGGTCGTCAGGTTATTTGCCGCGATACATAAAAATCGAATACATTTCGCCACTATCGGAGAAAGAGTAAGGACGGTCACAATTTTAAAAATCATTTTGTAGACTTGACCTGCTGGCAGGTCGGCGTTAACAGCGATTATCCTTATCGCTCGTATTTCCGTCTGCGACCGAGATAATTACCGTACGGGTGTGTATGCGATTCGTATGAATCACGTTTACAAAATTGGATCGTGCGTGGAATCGATTAATCGGGAGGGAAAGAGGAAAGCGAGAAAACATGAACAGCTGTAGGAGAAAGTGATAGGACGCGGTAATATTGCATGTTTCATTCATGGACGTGCAATCGCGCTCGCGTTGCGCGTAAAAAGAGAGAGAAATCCCGCAATATTTTCTAAGAAAAATTTAATAAAGTCTTAATACACGTAATCACATTGATCTCTCGAAAGAAATAGAGACGCTTCGAGAGAACTAAAGATAGCTTATGCGCACGAATGATTGATCACTTTGATGTCGCAACAAAATGAACAAATATTAACTTTGATACACAAAAATACTGATACGATAAAAGTAACGATACGATATTATGCCTGCTTGAAGAAATATTCTCAACTCGATGATATAAAAGCTATTCTCTTAGACAATATGTCAGCCATAAATATATATACATTTTCCATGTTTAAGTAAAAGATTGAGATATATTAAAAAGATATATATAGTATGTTTTCTATAACAGACCCGTTGCTCAATAGTGGAACTTAATTAAGTCATTTTCTTCAAAGGCACGCATAGTAGACAAACAGATCAAACTGGAACAGCTTGTCATCAGCTTAATAATAATGTAGCAAATATTCTTGCTGGACGCATATTGTTTCAGAAATACGAAAGCACCGTTTAATATTTCCTCATTAGCCTATTAATGTTTTAGTTCTGCTTCAAGCAAGAATCTTTGCTTGGCAGTGTTTATACATCGCGCACGATCTCATATGCGGCGATGTCATCAACGAAATTCTTCCTTCGCGCCTACGATTGTAATGAACTATAATCACTTTGGCGGAGAGTCAGTCAATCTCGTACTTCCAGTCTGTATACCATCGCTGTGGAGTATTAGTTCTTCATTTTTGTGAAACGCCACCATCTCTTCAATCGACGAGAAATTTTTCTCGTCGACCTTTGGAGAGCCCAAAGCGTATCTAAATAATTTAACAAATTCTTCTCTATTAAATTTGATTAACAATAAGTTAACGAAAAACATCTCTTGCATGACAATCACTAAATTTGAATATTTTTTTCCATTTTGTTGACAAAACATGAAATAAACTGGAGTACTAATTTTTCTTCAGATAGAATGTTGATCTTAAAAATTTGTCCAATCATTTAAGTTAAAAATATTATTTTACATTTATATTAATGTTAATAAAAAGTATATTCTGTCATAATTAATGAGAATCGAAGTTATAGTCCGGTGCTCATAAATACTCGAAAGTATACGGACAAAAAAATGAATAAAAAACTGAATAAAATGGAGTAAATTTAATAATCAGAATACATACCTATTGTCGTTCCTCTTCCTAACTGAAATGTTATAAACCTTATCTCTGTACCAGAGGACTAAAGTAAAAGGATTGTTAGGTTTCGTTGTTGATGGCCTCACGAGAAAATATCCATCCTGCGAGTTATTGTAAGTACCTTCTGAAAATGTATAATTCCATATTTAAGTAATTTTCTTCCTTCTCAGACTGCTACTTAAGTTTTATATAATTTTCGTGTTTTAAATAAAAAAGATTAAAGCGTAGAAAATCTTCCGCAAAGATATAACTACTTTATGACACATGAATATATTTCAATATCTATATTAATATTCGCAAAAAAGTATTTAAGTAATTAACTTTACAGAATGTTGCACAGATTTTTTGACAAAGTTTTCAGAGTTGATTTCCTTCTTAAATTTCACTACTAAATATATCTTTTAAAATCTTATTTCTTATCTTTTTAAATGAAAAAGTTTTATCTTCAAAAAAAGAAAAAACTCTAGCTGATACGTACGTTCTCTGATAAGAGTAATCCCTTGTTCTCTCGTAACAGTATGATACCACGGCTTGTCCGTGTATGATTGTCTATCGGGCGGTGGTGGCAGCGGTCGCGTGGCTCTCTCGTTTGACGGTGAATTGTTACTGCCAGAATGAGGTAAAGTGGCAGATTTCTTATCTGGCGATCGCTCTGCAAATACATAAGAAAGTCAAGATCAAGCTGCGAGTAAATGTGACAAATTGATACAATAATTACCGTTCATTTTCTTAATATGTAAGTGAATCGAAGAACCAGAAATAGAGATTGAGAGAAAAGAAAACTAAGAAAGTGAACGATACGAAATTTATTTCAACTAAGAGAAATTTCCCGCTTTCTCGCTCGAGAATTGATAAGAAATTGCACAGATCGTTCGCGGAAAATGCGAGAGATGCGTGATTTCTGAGCCGGACGAACAAATCGCGTTATAAGAAAGGCATAATTTATTTTTGAAGCCTCTTTTCCGCATTGCTCATTGGTCGTTTCGCGTTGCGTGTTATTACGTGTCATCGCAACGTTCGTGTTGACGATTTTTTTTATTACCGATTGTTTATCATCAAGATGATTTCGTTTGGCAGCTTGTATCTTTGTATACAAAAGGCAGAAGTGCTTTGAAGAAAGTAGAGGTTTAAATTATTATATAACGGGAAAAAATTGCGTACGCTTGTGCGGCCTAATGTAATGAATTCTAAAAATTCTATACCGCTGATCATCGGAACAGCAAACACATTTATATTTATACAATTCAAAATATATCAAATAATATAATACAAATTAATGGAAAATAATTCAACAATTACAATTTTATAATAATAATGTGAGAGATAAAATATGATAAAATATTCTAAATTGTTATGCAAATATTTAAGAATCTTTTTGTAAAATATACACGCAGTCGATTGCGCTACTAACTTGCTAAATTGAGTCGAGCCTGCGTAAGGGCCGCTTGCGTCAAACACTCGGAAAGACTCGCTTGCCGGCGTACTGCCGTATTGAGCGATATATTCCGTTTCGTGTCACTGATTATAGTTGCCATTATCGCGAATTTGTCACGTTTCCACGGCGAGTCGTGAATGTAACTAAGCGTCTATTGAGAGAATGTATACGTGTACCGCCGTTGATTTCTCTATCAATCTTCTATGATTAACTGGCAGTGATTAAATTGCTACCAAGACTCGTTGCAAAACGCGTTAATATTGTATCAAGCGTTGTTTTTTTTTTTAAATAAATATCTTTTATGTAGCAATTGTCGCCTGTCTTCCGCGTGTCGATTTACTTTAGTTAAATATACAGTCGCGAGTCTTTCAGGCTGCACCGAGATTCAAGGAACAGGCTTGGTACGCGACGCGATCGTCGCAAGAACTCCGGCGAAACTGAGATTTAAATCTGATGCAGGTCTTTTTAAACCATCGCAAAAAAAAAAGATGAGCGATGGTCAATCCGTTGGTCTCTCGGCATGGGACTTCCGAGGCGCATCCGAATACGTCGCGTTTAAGAATACCTTCCGTGAATTAGATCAGAAAGGTCAACGATCTTCTTCTGCGATCGCAGAAGAACAAAAAAGATCCGACAATGGTGTCCTTCAAAGGACGAAATTCTCGATAATCCGTGTATTTTTATAAAATTGCGAAAGAACTTTCAATTTCGTCCGAAAGCGCTTGCCTCTATAATTTAACTTTGCCTACAATAAGCAAAATTGCAAATTATATTGCAATACAAACATACACATCTAATTACAAATTGCACTTAATTATTGTTACACTATCATTTCGTCGGAAATTCCTAGCGGAAGACGCGGTGAGCGAAGAATTATTATGGTTTCCAAAATCTATTTCCGTTCGCGACCGCAGTTCAGTGACCTTCAGGCAAAAAAGGAACAGATGTTCCATTAGCGCGCACGCACGCGTCGAGCCGCGATCGCATGACGATCGCGCTGACAAGTATAAACGCAGAACGTCGCAGAGGAATGCGCCACTCAATCGTTTTATATACCTGGCGGCTCAGGTGGTTGCGAATAACAACACGTGGACAGGCCCCTCTTGACTCGCACTATCATATCGGCGACCTCATCGGCCAGACGCGTGCCCAGGCCACCTAGGAGCTGTTTGCTTAATCGCAGATAAAAACAGGAACACATTCCATCACCCGGTGTTTTCGCTCTGTCAATCTCTGACGATCGTCGCTATTAAATCCTCGCGCACGCGTCCTTATCGCGGCTCGCGATACCGCGTGCAATACGCGATTGTAAATAGCCGCAGTTCGCGTCTTTATCGTCCGTCCTCGCGACTCGCAGCTCCTTTTTCTTTCCCGGAAATCCGTGCGCCAATCTGTGCGTTGCACTAATCGCGAGCAGGATACTGCTCTATTATCACTTTGCCGCAACAAAATCTACTGCGTTTCTCACCGGTGCTTCTCACTCACTCGGGTCGAAAATCGTCAAAGAACTATCTTCCCGATCTCGCCCGACAACAGCATGATCTTTTATTCATATTGAAGGTCGAAGGTTTCGCGCAAAGTTCCGCGTACAAAAAATATTCTGCGAATTGTGAATAATCGCGGCGACGTCGATCGCATGTTGTACGACAAAAGATAATTTTTTCTTCCGACATAAAGACTCTTACGCGAATCGGGCATTGAAAACGGTGGCCGGCACACGACTGCTCGCAATATCGAAATGGCAATGCGCATCAGGTTGCATGGGAACTAAAGATGGGCAGCAGCATTTGTCAGCCACGTGTTCATGAGAAATTCTTACGACGACGATGCTGCACTCATCTTTACTGCATCCTGCACTTTTTTTCATTCGTCATTTCTGGACCGCGCGTCCCGCGACGCTTCGCCCTAATATTCCATTTGTTTACTGACGTAACAGCGAATCACGTCCGTGCAAAAGAGCACATCTAATTGCTTCTTCGTTGAGTAGAGCGATAAAATCAGCGAAAGTAAAATTTTTAAAGATATCAATTTTAGAGTTCAATGGCGAAAATTCTAGTTAAATTATATTTCTAAGTCACAGAATCAATTATTTCCTATCACTTCACGAAACACTATCGTGCTACTAAAATTCAAAACACAAAATGAATAATAATCCGTTTACGGAAAAAATTTGATCCAGGTTGGTTGGATTCAGGTAACATTTCTGGTTGCGTGGCAAAGTAGAAACTAATATTCTCCGTTTCTTCCTCACAGTTCATCGACACAAAAAGAATAAAGAATACAAAAAAATAAAGAAGAACACTAACCTTTGAGTTTTTCTGGCCTGGTTCTGTTGGGAAAAGTGGAGGGAAGTAGAGACCGTGGTTTGCTGGTAGGCAAAGGAGGCGGTCCTTGATTCGTGTCGTTTGTCCTTTGAATGGGCGTCAAGTAGTCGTTATCCTCCGTCTAACGCGACAATGAGAAAGTGAATAAAAAATAAAAAATATTTCAAAAACTTTCAAAATCATCGAAACTCACCTCCACTTCCTTAATAGCCTCGTAAATCTCGTAGTCCTCTTGCTCATCGTCGTAACTGGCGGCGCTGGACGGCGCTTTGTAAACACTCTCGACTGATCCTTGACGACTGTTGTGCAACGACAGCTTGCTGTCGACCCGCGAAATCTCCTTCTGCTGCTCGACGACGTTTTCATCGAACGTCTCGTACTCGTCTTCGCTCTCCTCCGTTCGCGCTGGCAAATTCGCGACCAAATCGAGGTTCCTTATGGTGACCGGCGGTAATTTGAATAACTCTTTGTCGAGTCCTTTCTTAGTCTCCAGGGACGTGTGGTTCTTGTTTTTCTTGGGATCCGCCGGCGGCGGCACGGCCATCCTTCCTGAAGACATATAATTCGTCATGACTCCGATCTCATTGTTTGTTTAATCCTTTCGGCGCACGGAGAAACTAAACAATATAATGTTTATTAATAATACATCATTATTAATAACAGAATCGTGATCCGAAAGGATTAACGCACAATTCAATGCACTAACTTTGTGTTTTGTTTTGCTCCACAGAAACGCGTGAGTGTATTTTTGGCGCATTGTGTAGAAAAGATTTCTGTGCGAGTTTCTTATCGGTGGCTGCTATCGGTATTTTTTTCGGCGGCAGCACTTCCGGTTTCGGGCCGATAGTTGGCTTATTATTCGGCTGATCTTTTTTGCGTTGCCGCAACTCTTCATTCAGCATCTCGGCTAGACTTTTCTTTGTCGTCTCGTCGTGCAGTTTCGAAACGTTTCTCGTCAACGGTGGCTTCGCCTCCTCGAAATTCGCGTACGTATTCTCCTGGCAGGGTTCATCCTGACAGGACTCATCCTGGTAGGATCCGAAATTGGCGTAAGTCTCTTCCACCTCCGGTTTTATTGTTTTCTTCGACGGAATTTTACTAATCGCTTTCCTGTTGTCCCACAGAGACGCCTGCTTGATCATACTCGGTTTTATGACTTCCGACGTATTTTCCAAGGAGTGGCTCTCCTCGGTCGTCTCATCCTCAAAGTCGGTCCCCCAGGAACCGCTGTCACTTAAATGATCATCGTTCTGTGGCATTTCTGTCTTGTGCGACACATAGTTCTCCGGAAAGTTTTTCAACTTTTGCACAAATGCCAATAATTTACTGAAATAAATTTGAGTTTTATTAACATTAAAAGAATACCTGATATCTGATAATAAAACTAACTAGAAATTAGACAAGAAAATTAGAAAACAAATTAGATAAGAAAATTAATATTTGTTACATAAGCAAAAAAAATTAAAAAGCACAAATGTTAATAATTTGCTGAAATAAATTTAAGTTTTATTAACATTTAAAAAAAAAAATACTTAATACCTGAAAAAAAATTAACTAGAAATTAAACAAGAAGATTAGATAACAAATTATATAAAAAAAAATTAATATTTGTTAAATAAGCAAAGAGAATTAGAAAGCACAAATGTCAATAATTTGCTGAAATAAATTTGAATTTTATTAACATAAAAAAAAACTTAATATCTGAAAAAAAAATTAACTAGAATTAAAGAAGAAGATTAGAAAACAAATTAGATAAGAAAATAAATATTTGTTAAATATGCAAAGAAAATTAGAAAGTAGAATAATAAGCAGTATTTTGCGCGCAACATAGCGGTACGCAGCGTTAAAACGTAACGCGACAGAAGAGTGTAACGATCGAATGCGACCCATGCGGTGGAATTATGCATTTATGCATGACTTGTGCAGTCATCAGATAATTAGCAGGTCGCGCAAAACACATTCGTCTCAATAGCTCACAACGTCGTCTTTTTAGAGCAGCAAGTTGATTCACATAAATTATTAGTTACGTGACTTGCCTTGTCATATGCATAACAATAATTTTTGCTACTAGAAAACTGTTTCTTAGCGAGATTTTGACATATGCAAATGATTTTAAAGGCGATACTATAGAATTAATGATGTGTTACACGATATTTTCTCTCCGCGTAACAGATGCTCGCTACTGTGTTGCTCATACATTTTGCACGCGTTTAAATACTTGTAAACGCGAGCGCGACGGGCCGTTCGCATACTGAATAATCGGATACCGTTAAGAACGCTATGAGGTGCGTGAGACACGATTCCGTGAAGAAGAGAAGAAGAGTAGACGGAACAATGTGACGCGGACAGAAATAAAGCTGGATTTGCTTCGCTCTCTCACCCTATCAATGGACGCGTGAGGTCACTCTTCCAGAGAGCCAGCTTCCCATCCGTCAAGTGCTGGAATAATTACAATTAATTAAGGGACGGCTAGCGCACGCGTCGGCTGTCTCGAAATATTGCTGCTGCGGCCGGGAAAAGAAGCACGGGCTCGCGTTATCAATGGAAGTGGGTAGATAATTACTGCATGCGTAGCGCGTGTCTCTCCCATTACAAGTGCACGATTCCGTAACTTCGCGAAACTGTGTAATGTTAAAAAAAAGAAAAAAAAAAGCATCCAGTAATAAAAAATAAATTTCTGTCAATTCCATGTTGAACATCACTGTATTAACAGACATAAACGATGCGAAACATAAATTATAAATATATGCGATAGCTACGCAACTAGCTATAATCTATAGATCTTCCATTAGAAATCAAAATTAATAAACCTGTTTGAACAAATGAGTGAAAAATGTAGATATATATACATTACTTTTAAGAGCAAATATTTGAATTCCAAATTTACTCTTTTGCTGAAAATAATGTTTTTTTAGTTGGCCGATTAAATAACGCGGATAACGCGAAGATTCTGCTAATGGAACGTTTCATTTTCAAGACACTCTATACATTCGAGCGACTCAGGGGTCATCGACAGGAACACCAGTGAAGCATCGTTAGCCGACAAATGAGACGAAACCGAGAAATCGCTTGCACGGACGCCCGTTGCCTTGGTCGTAAAATAAAATAATTTACTTACGAGAAACTCGTCTCCATCAATCTGCCGTTTTGCCACCGCCTTACAATACTCCTCCAATCCATTCTACAAAATCAGGAAATTTTTTTAGTCAGCAGGATATACAGTGCTGATAGAGAGAGAGAAAGAGAGAGAGAGAGAGAGAGAGAGAGAGAGAGAGAGAGAGAGAGAGAGAGAGAGAGAGAGAGAGAGAGAGAGAGAGAGAGAGAGAGAGAGAGAGAGAGAGAGAGAGAGAGAGAGAGAGAGAATGACACGCACACGTATTCGTATCTCTCATGTGCCATAAAAAAATGCGCATATCCTTATTGATAAAAAAGGGAAAAAACCGAGTTATCAATGATGTGTTGTAAAACATATCGCCGCATATCTAATCCGAACTCAAATATCTTGCTAAATAAAATAAAATAAACTGGAATATTATTATATAAAATACTGAAATATCGTTACACAACAAAAAAAATTGATTTCAGAAACCTAAGCCATATTTTGAGCTATAATAACATTGTTATAACTCGGAAATTTAATGTGAAGTCGTAAGAAAACTATCACGGCGATATGCCGACATTGGTTTTAGTTTGTCAGGTATCCGGGAAAGCTACAAGCCCGACTGTACAATGCACACGTCCCTTTCGCTGGTCAAATTCTTTTGGAAGAAAAAAGTATTGTTTGGAAGAAAGAAGTATGGGAGAAAGAAGTATTCCTATAATGCTGAATAATCTGGTGAAACGTTCAGATTACATAGCAAAAAGTTATCACACAAAAATTTTTTCTCCTAAAAGATGTGATGATATTGTGCATATAGTTTTCAATTAACTACTTTCAATAAGCTACCAATAATAAATTAATAAAATATATTACAGAAGTTTTATACAGTATGATATTATTTCACTACACTTTCAAAAAAATAAAACGAACGCAGAACGTGAAGAAAAATTAATCGATATAAACTCAAGTAATTGGTATCGGAACATTCAATCATTTATTTCGATTATTTTCAATCTAAATTAAAGCAGATAATACATTTGAAACTAATGATGTGAATCCATTAATCATAATCAACATCGATTGACTTTCACGTCTAAGCATCTGCGTTTCAGTTTTTTATTGTTATTTAATGAGATCAATATTTTTATTTCTTTTACTCTACTTTTTTATAGCAAATTTATTCTTCAACTTTGCATTTCATCAATATACTAATGTAATCGTGAAAAATTTATTAAACATTTAAAATACAAATTTCTTATTTTTTCTCTTACATATATAAAACTAAACGCATATTTATATTTTAAATATGAATAAAAAAAGATCGCAAGTGTAAGAAAATGTTGAGGTTGCGAGTGAAAGAAATGAGCAAAAGTTGGAAAGTTTAATCGCTGGAAAAGTTCTCTCTCGCGTCAGAGATCCGCGCCTTTCCGACTGGCGACGCTCTTTTTGCCACATAGTCGTGCTATAAATATACATACCTCGTGTATTTATCGCTAGCACAAGGCACGTGTATTTCGCATCTTTCGTGTCGCGCGCGTTAGGTGTTCCCCGCGATTGGTCGCGTCGTGCTATTGACAGTTGGTGGACCGTCATCGAAACGCTTGTATTTACATTCTGCCATTTCTACGCTCCTCTACATTTTCTCGCATTTTCCTCCATTTTTATCCATTTTTCTTATCATACAAATTCATATCTGTGCCGTTTTAGTGCACGAAATATCCGTGAAGTGTACAAATCGCGACGGATTCGTCGCTGGAGCGACGCGATGACGTCAGCGAACTCACCTTGCGCAGCAGACACAGCACCTCTTCTGTGTTCCAGGTGGAGATGTTATCAAGGGCTTCTCTCTTCGACAACTTCTTGGACATTACGGCCGCGCACGGTCGTGGAAAAAAAACTATCGCACGTGTACGTTCACCGCCCGGCGGCATCTGTATTAGCTTTTTACGACCGTGCAGTCGTCTGACAAGCCCCCCCAATCGTTCTCTTCATAGCCCTTTCTCCTCGTTCTCTTTCTCCTGGCTCTTCACGACCACCACCCTCGCGATAGCCAACGGCTATCCGCGCGATTGGTCACTTTCTCGTGGTGCACCTGTGTGCGCCAGGTCTGTCTCGAATGAGATGCAAACCCTCTGTAATAATACTAGGTGCGCAACTAAGTTTCCGGGTTTCACACATGAATGGCGCTAACGATACATGTAGTCGATATACATGTCTAAAGTTGTGTTTTTTTATTAACTTGGACATCTGTCAACAATAACCAGTCATAATACCAACACATATTGCAACGCAAAAATATTTTTTCTAACAATAAAGATGTCGAGTTTTGTGCCAAATAAACAGCATTTGCGGGAAGCTTTGCTTTTCTGCTTCAACTTGAAAGAAAATGCAGCTGAAGCACGCCGTTTGCTTGAGAAAGCCTACGGCGAACATGCACAATCGAAAACTACTTGTGAAGATTGGTTTAAACGCTTTAGAAATGGCGATTTCGACACTGAGGACAAGGAGCGCTCCGGAAGAACCAAAAACATTTGAGGACGCCGATCTGCAAGCGTTATTGGATGAAAATGATACGCAAACACAAGACAACAACAACTGATAAATTTGAACCATGCATTGCT